CAGCAGGGATTCAACAGCACCCAGTGCCTCTCAGCTGCAAGCAGACCATGAATGTCTTAATGTCTCCATGCTACCTGCAAGGCGGACTTCTGCCTGCCCTGTCCTCATGGAGCCTGTAAGGCTTTGACATCAGTCTGAGTCAGTAGAAAGTAAGGCTTTGTATGTAATACAGAACTACAGAATCACAGAATGGTTGGGCTGGAAAGGACCTCAAAGATCCCCCAGCCCCAACTCTTGTCATTGCCCCCCCAACAGCTCAGGCTGCCCAGAGCCCATCCAGCCTGGCCCTGAGCACCCCCAGGGATGGGGCACCCAAACTGCTCTTGGCAGCCAGTGCCAGGGCCTCACTGCCCTCTGAGTAAAGAATTTCCTCCTCAAATCTAATCTAAATCTCTAGACTTTTACTTTAAAGCCATCCCCCATCCTATCACTATCAGACCGTGTAAAAAGTCAGTCATAATCCTGCTTACAAGCTCCCCTCAAGCACTGGAAAGAATAAGTACAATGCACAGCTGGCAGCAGAAGCTCTAAGAGGTTGCAGAGTCGTGAAGGTGTTCACATCACCCGAAGGATCATGCTTTATCTCCCACTCAAAACAGCTTAAGTGCAGTTTCCAAGTAGACGGGTTTTGATCAGATACAGACAGATGAACAAACTCCAAAGCAAACCACAAAATCCCTACCACAGAAAACCCTTTCTTGGCCTCAGCTGTCACAGCAGCACACCAATTTACAGTACAGTATCAAAGAAAGGGACAAAAACCCCAAAAGCTTTGCCCCTCTCTGCAAGAGGCCCGCAAGGGAGCAGGTGCTGCACGTGCCACAACAGCCACAAACTGCTTCTGACGTTGGTGACAACAGCAGTGACACCAGGAACTGACCTCAGCTCGTGCTCTTATCAGATTGTGCTGGCAGGATGGGCAGCTGTGTGAATGTCTGCTCACAGAGAGCAGGTTAGTGTGCCGGATGGAGCTTTTACACCGAGCTCCACCCTGCAGGACTCATACACTGAAAGCAGGATAAATTCCCCCCAGAGGCCAGGACAGCCCTGCAGACGGTGATGGAGACCAGCAGCCCTCTCACTGCACGTCCTGTGCCTGTCTCAGGCAGAGGACATTGGTCTTTCTGACATATTTAGCCAATCCGTACACCAATAGACTGGAAATCTGGACATTTTCCCCAGAATGTGTTTCTAGAGGTGGGTTGGAAGGGAAACCCTTTATCAGCCCTCCTGCTTTCTGGGAGCCCACGCTGCAAGGACAGCAGTAAGCTACAGCTTCAGTGTCAGTTGTGTGCAGTGAGTCACCCCCACTGGGCTGCCCTGCACTGCTTGCACTGCACTGCTCATTTCCTGTTGCACACAGCCTTCTGGCAGAGCTGAGAACATTACCAGCAAAGAGGAGGGGAAAAAAAAAAAAGAAAGAAAGAAAAAAGAAAGTTCAATGATCACTAGGTGTAAAACTGTGCTGCCAGAGCACCTATCATTCCCACTGAAGTCAGCAAAAACTACAAGCAAATAGGGTCAGGTCCTCCTTTTGCAGCAAGCAGTAAGTCTAAGTACAGCATAGGAAACCTCTGCAGCAACGGTGATTTCCAGCACAGATGTGCACAGAATGCTGAGCTGGCACCAGAGCAATGAACATCTCATCTACGCACAAAGCAGAGTGCAGGGAGATGTGAGCAGACCACTGCCAGGGAGCTGGGAAGCTACTGCACTCTGTGAAGGTGAAGTGGAAAGAAAGAGACAGGCAGTGACCTTCAAAACAGGGGTGTTTTCCATACTGTCACACAGCCTCTCACACAGTGTGAGAAGACGGCGGCTTGCCATGACTTCTGACATCAAATTATTCCATGGAAACTGCCAAGCCCTGAAGCAGGCAAAAAAAAAAAAAAACAAAAAGAAAAGAAAAAAGAAGGGGACCAGAGCTGCTCATTGAGCAAGCAGGCTGCTCTCCTGCCTTAGCCAGGCATCTCTGGTGGCAACATTGCCATCTGTCCACCAGGACATCTGCGCACCAACCTTCCCACCAAGCACTGCAAGGTAAGTGCCTGATCCTGCAGACCTGGCCCACCAAGTGCTATCATCTGTTACATGTGGGCACAAACCTAGACACAGAAACCTGCTTCTTCCTCAGTGACTACAGAGGTACAAACTCAGATTTAACTGCAAGCGGCTTTGAACACAGAACTGAAAGAGAGGAGATGAATGCTGATAAACACACACATCTCCTGGACCTAGGAAAGGCAGCAGAGGACACTGTTTAAAATTAGTTCTGATAGCCTGATCCTACTTAACAAATTAGGACTTAATTCCCTGTTAGAGAAAGGGAAACAGTAGCACTCTCTCTGGTGGAGATGCTAAGATGCCAAGGAATTCAGGTTGAGAAGTGATGAGCGTCCCATTAGCACATCAGCTCGATAGATACACGAGGCACTAAGTGACAAGTGTAGGAAAGGTTTACTGTCAGTGAATCCACATGGCAAGAGCTGACCACAGATGCCTGGCTTAGAGTGACCGAGTTGGGTGTTAGTTTGGACTTGTTATTTCCAAGGTTTTCTTTGCTACTCCTGCATTCTTTGCACAGTTACGAATAGGCTCATCCAGTTTCCAAACTTCCAACAATTCTGCATGAACTATAAGCAAGGGAAATTCCTATCTGCTCCTACAAAGCACCCCAGAGGTTCTTCCCAAAGATGGGCAGGGAGCAGCTATGCTATCACAGAGGCAGCATGTTGCTACCCTGACATCCCTGCCCCCAGGCTGCTGTGCTACTGTATGGCTTCTGCTCCCTTCCTGTTTGTGGCCTGGTGAGACACTGCAGGCTAGCAGATAGATCTTGATGACTAATTGTTCTCAGGCTGGGACAAAGATCTCTATTCGCTGTAACAGATCCTCTGTTGCAAGGATTTTTGTCCTCCCTCCCCCTCTTCCCTGAGTAAGTTTTCATTGGCAGGATGCAGGTTGGATTCATCCAAGCCGTGGATCTGTTTCCTACATCTGGATGTCTCAGGTAAAGAAAGGAGGAAACTCAACAGCCCCAGGGAAAGAAGAGGGGGGACAAAAGCTCAATGACTGTAACCACTACAGATGTGGTTACAGTCAGACTGTGGTACAGATATGGCAGGCAAGAGGTGTTCCAGCCCTGGCCATGCTGACTGCTGTATGGCTGCTGCAGTGCAGAAAGTTAATGGCAGCTCACACTGCATGTCACAAAATGCTGGAGAGATGTATGCAAATGTTTTTTCATCAGTTTGAATGCAAAACCACACACCTCTGAATGCAAAAATGTGCACCTCCCCTTCTGCCACCTGTACTGAAAAGTGAACCATGCAAACAATAGCATGGAGCATCATTCCACCGGTGCCAGACCAGGCTCTAAGAAAAGACCATTGAAATCTATTCACCAGTACCCAAAAAATGTGAAGCTGTCATGTCACCAGTGCTGCACGTGTAGCTGTGATTTTACACATCTCCTAAACCTGCTCTCAGCATGAAAAACGACTGACAGACACCACCTGGATCTGGACAGGAAGGAGCTTCAGGAAGGAGCACTGTGCAAGCAAAAAAGGTCACACTGCACAATCAGAGCCCCTGTTTGGAGCCAGGCTGAGCACAGGATTTAGGTACTGCAACTCTCCTGTGCCTTTTTTATGATTATTTTAAACCCAGAAAAGAGAAGGATCTAGTGATTGCTGTGTCTGTATACTACTTGGTCTGGTTCGATGGGATTTCACTTTTAATGGACTTTTTGCAAAATGTTAAACTCTGCCTATTTAGCAGCTTTCACATCCCTACACGGAGAACCGTTCTTCCAAAATACAGTCCTTTAATATGCACAGAACAGTTTTTGTCTCTTACAGAACATAACAGACAAGTAAGCAAAGCTGTCTGGCCCAACAACGTACCAAGAAAAGCAGCCAACAACATGAAATCTGTAAGCCTCAATTACAACCCAAATCTTTCTCTTGCAGAAGCAGCCAGCCCCCTGTGTTGTGTCTTCCCAACATGAGTTAACAGTACCCTTTATTTAGCCCACCCTGATATTAAGCCTAGAGCCCCAGATAAGCCAAAGGTACCACCACACCTCTGCATCACACACAAGAGAAATCCCTCACAATCAAACCACAAGTGTCAAGAGAATCACATAAATCAGTTTGATTGCATTTCTGCTAGACTGCATTTCCTGAAAAAATCTAGTGGATTTCAAAAGTTTTCACTCAGAAAGCTCCAGCAGAGACCTAGTATTGCTGAATTCACTGGCAGTCCAATAATCTCTTCCTAGAAACAATGAGGATACGATTAATTGCAGCCGCCGCAGAATGAAATCACACCTCCAGCTCATTCATAAACCTTGACCAGCACTTGAGCTGCCCATTGCTACAGCAAAACGAAACACTGATTTCTCACGGCTGCAGCACTGTTGAACAATCGTAGGTCTGTCCTGAATAACAAGGCAGACTGGTGCAAATGGGTAGCACAGGTATTTCCATTTCATTCCCGATAAAATCCATGCCCACTTCTCAGGGCTGTAAGAGACCACACCACCCCTCGCTGTTTCATGGTCTAGACTGAGAAAACAAGGCCTGAGAGGTGATAAGGAAGGGAAAGTGGCTTGCTTGCAATCCTACAGCAGAACAGGAATAAAATGAAGATGTGAAACTCCTGCCCTCAGTCCTGGTACCTTCTGTATCCTGAGGCTACAACTCAGTTTGCATTTTCTGTGCGTAAGTCAACTGTGTGGTGATTTTGGGATGAAAAGACCCACAACGTACTGACCAGAAGCCAGCTGCGGGGGAAAAGGTATTCCCTAAACTGAGGTTTTCAGTTACCTAAAACATGGCAGTGCCACTGGACTGGGGACCAGCAGTGTGCTGGCGTGGGGCACTAGTTTCACTCCCTATATCCTACTGTCCTAATGTTAGAACCATTGTGAAAAAACACACAAGCAAGTAATACTAAGTGCATCTCTGTGGGACTGAATGATTCACAGCGTGGCTTACCTGGACAATCAGCCTCTTTTCTTTATCAGGCAGAATTCGGTAGGTATAAACACAGTTCCGAAACCTGGAACAGATCAGAGGAGATGCTGTTAGATTGCCCCCAGAGGGAATTAATTGCACCATAACACCCTACCCCATGAGAGGAGATACTGCAAGGTCCCTGGACACGCAGATAGTTTCATGCAAAAGGGTTTTAAACATTTCTCTCCATTTCCCTCTAGCCTCCAAAGTAACATCAGCTGTAACTATTGTTTTGTCCCAGTTACATTCAATTAGATTTTTATTTAAGGGAGGATAGAAGAGGCTTTTGCCCAGTGAAATGTCACATCAACGTGCAAGAGCCCAAAGGCAAGGAAGGAAAGCCTCAGCTGTAATGTGGTAAGCATGACGCTCCTCAGCAGCTGCTGAGCTCCAGGGGGGTTACAGGGGAAAGCTGGCTGAAAAATAGACTTCTACCTTTTCTCCAGTGAACAACAGATTGTTCAAACCCTTCAAGCGAACTGCAAAGTGTTCTGTTAAAACACACGATATGGCTTTAAGCCAATGAAGGACGCTAGTTTCAACCTCTTCCTCTCAAAGGAAAACGTGGAATCCATTATCAGATCCTCCTTGCCTGTATCAGAGCCACTGCATTACACTCAGGAGCATTGTGAAATGCAGGCTGAGGTCAGCCCTCCAGCTAGGGAGATCAATGAAACAACCACACCTCTTCTACAATAACATACATACACTTTTCAGAATCAATACAGGCAGGAGAGAGAAAGAGAGACCACCAGGATGGTAGGGAGTCACAAAAAGCAATTGGAGATGAAATTATTCACAAATCAGAGCTGACTTTTCTTGGGTGTTTGGAAGATTTGCTCATGTATCCATACAAACCTCTTTCTAACGGCATCAATGGCCAAGAACACAGAACTGCCCACCCAGCTTCAGTAAGCAATGCAATACCATCCCATAGGCACCTGCTCATCCACAGCTGAGGAGCTGCTGTGCCAGGGAGCTGGAAGAAGCCACGGGCACAATCCTGAGCATCTTAGGACTGCCACAGCTCTGCTCATTTCACTGAGCCCAGAGCAGACAGAGCCAGAGGAGGGTATGCCCCCAGGGAGCTTATAGGTTTTGGTTTTATCTGCCAATGCAGTTCTCTTACACCATTTCCTCCTCCTGATACGCAAACAAGGGCTAAGCAGAACTGCTCATGCAGCTGATGAGAGAAAACCTTTGTGAGTGGAGATTATGGAACTGATAAACAAACCAGCTTAATGGTGCTTGTGCCAGAGAAGGACCCTCCATGAAAGTTCCCATCACACAGGGTCTTATGAGGCAGCTGGTGTAACACTTGTCAAGAGATTGCAGCCGGAGTAGTAGAAAAGCAAGCCAAGAGCTGCTGGATATGATAGGATCAAGGAGGAGCACTTTGTAGGATCAAACACGGGTCCCTCCTTGCAGCCCCTTAGTTTAGTGCATGTGGATGGAGAAGGCTGTGGTGTGTACTTCATTTTCAGCCCTCAGCCTTTGCCTCCTCAGCATCCCAACTGCCAGGCTGTGTGGTCCCAATTGCTCTCACATTTCAGGTCCTCCCTAGAAACTGGGTGTGAGTTCAGAATTGCCTTATTGCTGTTCAGCCTGGCTGTGTGTCTGTGTGCGGGGTGGGGTAAATACAACACCTGCCTGAGTTTAAATGTGTCCCCACGTACTTTCTGATGCTTGCCCCATCAGCCAGCTAGCAGAAGAAAGGGGACAAGGCTTGTGCTTTCCCTTTCCTCTCCTACTGACCCTTACACACGGGTGACGATGCGCATACTGGAAATGTATTGGAACATGTTGGAGCCCAACCACAACAATGTCTGTCTAAGCATCCGATGAGTGATGCCATCCCCTCAGGGTGCTGGAAATGGTACCTCCAAGGAACAGCCCTCCTGGAGGAAGCCAAAGCTGCACCTAAGGCTGTGAGCTCTTCTCTAGAAGCACTGCTGCTCCTGCCTTCCCCTCAGCTGGGTTAGCCCATTGCTTCTCCATCAGTTGGCAAGACTAACAGTCTGGGCTCAGAGAAAATGGGGAGGAAAGTGCCCTCACTTCTTGCCTTTTAAGGGGCAGCGTGACCAGCAGAGAGAGCGGAGGACAGCAGAGCTGGGGGAGGAGCATTCCCTGCTCTCTGCTGAGCTCAGCACTGCTGCTGTCAGTTTTAGAGGAGGCAGGAGGGGTTCTGAAAATGCCCTGCAGATACCCCTCCCTTACTGGTCCACATCTACACAAGCCCTATTTTTCCAAAGCAGCTCTTCAAGAAAATCACTACTTCGGTCTATAATAAAACAATCATGATTTTGCTGGATGCTAACAGGTCTGTACAACGTGACACTTCTTTTTCCAGTCAAATTTCACAGGGTTTTGTTTTCCTTCCCCATGCACAGTGACTTTCAACATAATCCCCTTTTTGTGACAGCCTCCCGTTCCACCTCTTTCTCTCACCTTGTCTCCAGCCTCTCCATTCTTCACACAGGAGTGACCGAAGCACTGCCAACACCTTCCAGTCAATAACACAGCTGAAACCCACACATCTCCGAGGAATTTTCCAGCTTCAGGAAAGCTGTGTGCTTTGTCAGGATGAAATTCAGAGGGAAAGACTTATTCACTGCCTTTAACCCTTTCTGTCCACAAACTAACTGCCGGCCAGAGTCAGCTGAAAGGATGCTACTTATGCTGACAGCAGTCTGCGGGCCGTTTCTCGGATGCTGAGCTGCTGCTGACAGACCCGGCTGCCCTTGGCTGACAAAGCTGGGTGCTGTTTCTTTAATCAAACCATTCATGTTGGCCACCTCAGAATGGATTTAAAAACATAACCTTTGGCTCCCGGCTCAGAAAATCCTGGTCATTATATTGTTCCTATTTCCTGATCCCATGTCTCTCAAGCCACAAAGGCTTTCAAAGTTGGCTGCAAAAACATTTACAATGGAAAAACTTATGCAAATGCACGTTAGCAGACATTTTTACGGCACCTTCCCTTTCTGCAGTCTCCACCACCGCTTTGTAAAGACATCTTTTGTGTATGTGTGTGTGTGCTAGTTACAAAGCAAAGCATTTGTACGAAAAATGCTCAATGGAAGTCGCTGTCTATTCCAGTAAAATGTTCCTTGGGTGGCAACTTGTGCCCTCAGCCCTTGTCAGAACGCCTGTGTACACGGAGAAGCTGCCCAGCCCCATGCCTTCTGCCAGAGACAGCCCTCGGCAGCAGCATGTGGTGTCACCAGAAGCCTGACCTCAGAGACAAGCACTTAGACCACGGTTATAAACGGCAGCACCGCCTCCACTGCTGCAATAAATGCACTTTCAGAAAGAAGCTGTACTGGGAAACTTACTTGTAGCTTCACGGGCAGAGGGGGGGACATAAGTTGTCATTAATCCAACAAGGATCTGACAGGCAGAACAGGGTCTACAGAGGCTCCTGTGGTCTCTCCAAAGCAGAGAGTGACTGCCTTATCCCCTGTAATGCCGAGTTCAGTCCTCAGACTTTGCTTGCTGCCTTCAGCCTCCTCTGGCCCTGCAAACCCAGGGCAGGTGACCCTTTCTCTGGTGCTCAGCCCCAACCCAAATGCAGTGGCAGGGCTGCCAATGCATCTCTCCCTATTTCCTACATGACAGCATTTACCCCATGAGCAGGCAGACTCACTGCTGTGCTGAGTGCATCGTGCTCTGCTCCACGGACTTATTCACGCCATTTGCTGAATGGGACACAGCACCATGCAGGGTGCTGAGTTAAACACACACACTGAACCAGAGCAAGAATGTCTCTCAGAGGTACCGAGCTGGGCGTTTGTGTTGTTATCTGTAAATACATGACCCAAGGGGCAACCAGGCTCTAAGAAGTCAAGAGGCTCTTTTATCTCGGAGTGCAGCGACGTTCCCTTTGACTGTCCTTTTGGATCAGGGGCATGAGCAGCACAAAAAGTACAGCAGCAGAAGAGCCTGCATTTGTTCAGCCAGATCCCAACCCTACCCTGTGGCCCAGCAGGTGAAAACCAGCCACGCTTTGCTTTCTATGAGCACAGTGGCTGTTAGGGCGTGGGGAGTAACCCCTCCATGAGCAGGGACAAAAGTGCCCACGTGAAGCACCAAGATCAAAGTGTACTTACAGCACGCAGAGTGCATACGCCGAAGCAATGGACTCACTGGCCCGCACAAGGAAGCTGCCATCCTTGCCTATTTTGGAGAGCAGGTCTTCGGCTCTGGAGCGAGTGATGTTGCCGTGGTACCAGCACTGATCCATGGCTGCAGCTGGAGGAAACCAGAATGCCAGTACAGGAGCTGCCAGAGCTGCCTCTGTGTCTGTGTGTAACGATCAGGCAGCTCCAGCTCACCAGCTTCCTGTTTCAGTAGTACAGAGAGGGAAAGGAAACTCAGCCGCGGAGAACTTCCTCAACTCAAACAGCTCAGAGAGTGAGCATGACACGTTCCTGCAGCTCCTGCTCTCTCTCCATGCTGCAACAGAAGCGACTGGTGAGCCCACATTCCCTGCCTTTCCTTTCATGCCTCTGTATTCTGCACCAAAACCCCACATGGGGGTCCCTCCTGCTCCCTCACTAATTCAGTCCCACGGGTGTTGGTGGTTCACCCTCCTATTTATGGTCTCTTGCCAGACCCTCTGTGTTTCCATTTTTTTCCTGTCCATCAGTCCTACCCATGACAGGTCTCCATGGGGAACAAATAAATCCCAGACTGGCTTGCAAACAACCTGTGCATTGGAATCCTTAGCAACGACTGCCTCATTCCACCATTGTCTGCTCCTCACATCTAGCTAGGGGTTCAGCAAGGGACTTGAAAGATCCAAATAGTAATAATAATGATAACAATAACAAATTATCTCCAAATTATCTCTGTGCACAAAAGCAAAGCAAGATTTGTTTGGAGATCTATTGACCAAAGTTCCCTGTCAGCCACTGTGAGATAGGTTTAAAGAGTCCTTCCAACTCTAAATCGCCAAAGGTGGGACAGAGCAAAGTAATTTTTGGCATCCTGCGTCAGAGAGGAGAACTGGGACTTTCACTTCCCTTTTCTTTGTCTGTACATCTGTCTCTTGCCTAGGCTCTGTGCTGCGTGCACAGCGCTGCACCTCCAAGGGAAAGCAACAAGGCATGCTTGCAACAGGCAACAATGTGGCTGCAGGAGCACTGCCTACATGGCAACTTTGGTTGCCTCTCCTCCAGCTACTCTGCCTTTGAAGGCACTGCTTCTGCTTACCCACATTTGAGCCGTAATCCACAGCAGCAGCCAAATGGGACTGTGTGTCAGGAGAGTCCTCATGCAAAGCTCACACAGCCCTGCACAGCCTTCAGCTCCCAGAGCCAGAAGTGCTGTGGACCACACACAGCATACAGGAGGGCTGCCCTCTCACACAGCAGGCAGAAGAAAGCAAAACCAGTATCTGCGGGCACTGAGCAGGAGGTGGAAGCAGTACATCCCCATCTGCCTTCCTGGCACTTTCAGTTTTCCAGACATTGACTCTACAGCATCCAGCTTGATCTCAGCTGCTAGGATTAAACTGAGTGCACTGGAAATTCAGAACTGCGCAACCCTGCTAAATGGGCAGAACTGCAATATGCAGGGCTTCCTGTCCACGCTGAGCAAGCACTGTCTGCAGACCAAAATTAGCTCAGCAGGACCTGCCCTGGAGCTTCACTCAGACCTACACAGGCTTTACAAGACAGACTCCCACAGTGCCTAAATAAAGTCTGACATTGAATTAGCTCTGAAGTAGCTAATTAGCATTGAAGTAGCTCTGAATGGACAATAGCTGTCAAGCTGCAGTGTGGGTGCAAACCCTATTCTTCCTACTGAGAAGAGTATGTGTGTATTGCAAAGAAGTTGTGTAGCTCCTCTGATGGTCCTGCCTGGCCACAGTGTGCCGTTAGCCTCACCCATGCTGCCTCTTTGGGATGTCTGGTGCTCACAGCAGCTTCTTGGGAGCACTGTCATAGCAGGAAGCAGAATGGCTCTGAATGTCAAACAGTTGCTTGGCTTTACAGTGCTCTCCATGCAATGGATCCATATGATGGCACACGGTGGGCAGAGCTGATGTACAGAATGAGTACTGCTGGAAGGACTCTACCCTTGTAGAGCTTCCGATCTACTGTAAGTTAACACAAGATAACAGAGAAACGTAAGTCCTGGTCAACCAGCTGAAGGACTAATCAACTGGATTCCCATCCATCCCTCACTGACTTCAGCTTTTAGGACACTGCAGCTATTTCTTTAAAACGTGTACATTCCTGCTCAACCACGCTCAACTCACTTACTGGAGACATCAACAAGGGGATGGGATCCAAATGCACACAACGCTTATGGCTGTAAGGTGTGCAGGTTGTGTATTTCTAAAGAAAGCACAGGACAGCTGCTCAAAAGGTGCATCCTAATCCCCCAGCACAAAGAGCTCTGTGATCCCTAGTGGTCAAGTGCAGCACTGCCTGAAGAGGAAACGGCATCTAACTTCCATCTCACAGTGCTTACATGTGAGTGCTGGAGAATGAATGATTCTTGTGTGGTCAGAGTATGCAGGCATGCACACCCCGAACTATCAGCAACCTTACTCCCAAAGGAAAGCAGTCTGTTCCACACAGAGTCAAGAGACAGTTCAGCACGTACTTCTTTCTCCTCACGTCTGTGTTGGAGAAGGCTGGTGAGCAGATCTGAGGATGAAGGGGGCAGAGAAGGAGAATGGAACTGTTTGCGGTGCAGTGAGTGCAGTGATCACATCCAGGGAATACAGTGCACATGGTGATGCTACAGGGGTAGCCTGCAAGTTTACACAAGGAATAGGGTGCACTTCAAATAGCTGTACTGTCATCCCACAGCTGGGATAAAGAGCTTCCCTTGTAAAACAAAGGAATAATGGATACAGCTGTCAGGCAAATTCAACCCAGACTCAACAGCAGCTATATGATAACTGCAGCAGCAGTATTTCACTTAAACTCACATTAGAGAATGAGACCACAGCCAAAGCACTGACACACATTATGATGGCTGATCAAAAATTACACTGCTCACAGTCTACAGATGGAGCAAGCATTATTTTTTCTCATGTTGGCACATTTTTCCAAGCTTTCTTTCAGATGCTGCAATCAATACTTTATCTGACCAGTGTTTGCCACAGATGGCTGGGCAGCGTTCTATCAGCTGGCTGCAAACTCCCCAGCCTGCCCAGAGCCAGTGCATAAGTATTGTCTGTAGCAGCACTCAAGTTTTACAGTGGTCACCCCAAAATCCTACCTGTATCCAGGCTGTGTAGTTCTTCAATAATGGCACTGCTGTGCTTGACCACATGAAAAATGCCCAGGAAAGGTATTTTCACATCATGAAACAAAAGGATTTCTTAGTATGCCTGACACGGGAAGCTGAATTAATAGGAGAGCTGTTAGCTTTGCTGAAGTCTAACTACAGGATTCCATCACTAGGCACCAACAGGCTCCTGGCCGCTAAAGTGTATTCAGACTCCAGCCTACATCTAAAAACCAGATGAATAAGAGTCATTAAGTATTGGTTCATTGAACCACTGTGTGCTTTGCTGCTTCTGCAAACTGACACATTACCGACCTGCTGCTTGGGAAGGGCTCAAGAAATTGTAGGTATGTTTGGCAAGGCCACAAGATCTCTTCACTCCTTCGATACTTGCAGCTTCCAGGTACACTGAAACAAACCCAGATGAATGAGAAGAACCAGGAGACCTTCTTTTTCCGTCTCTGAAAACTATAAGTAATGAACAGCAAAGGGGGATGCTGAAAAGCAGAGGCTCACGTAGCTAAGCAGTGACAGTGCAAAGGACTCTGCGAGACCTGCTAGAGCTCCCCAAAGCAGATGAGAACGCTGTGAAAGGGAGGTATTTTTCTGCAACAGTAGAGCAAACACATGTTTTCCTTGGGGCTGTTCCACACATGCACACACACAAAACACAGCAATCAGCAAACAAGCTCAGGCTGGTTTGAAAATAATTTTTCCAGAGGCACGAGCAAAGCTGCCCTGGCTCCACTCACTGCCCTTCGGCGCTATTCACCTCTGGTCACTTGTCTGCTCACAGCGTGTCGCCTCCTTCCAAACCTCAGTGTAGCCTCAGAATAGTCTCCCTCTTAAAAATTTGGGCTGTTCCCTTCTAAAAACTGCTGAAGATCTGTCTACTCTTGAAAGCCTTCCAGCACAAGCACTCCCATGCTCCTCTGACATTTACATCTCTGCCATTTTCTGGAAGCGAGGCAATGTTATTTGTTTCACACGCTGTCCCCTTGCTGGTAATACTCTATAATAACAGTCTGTATAATAACAGTCATGCTTGCAAGACATTGGTTTGTCAGAGATAACAGCAGTTACTGCATGGATCAAAGCTTAGCACTTCCATTAGAAAGACCAGCAAGTACTTCCCCTCCTGACTATAAATTGGGAGCTCCCTCTGCAGACCCGTCCTGATCCTGCAGGTCTGTTAGTGCCATTTCTGCCAACTGCCCGTGGGGCAGGGGGTGCTGCATAGGCCCCACTCTCACTGTCTGTGCAAAGGGAACCACTGAAACACACAAGGCTGTGGTTTTGGTACACGTGAGAAGCTGTAGTTACCAACTGCAGCACAAGCAAAAGGGCAAATAAGCAAGAACATACAGCATAGGAAGTAAGGAGAAGGCAAAGTTATGAAGAAGTCCCTAAGGGGCCTGGGAATTCAGCAAGCAAACCCCAAATCCAGTACAGAAGCAGGCTGGGAACATTTCAAGATGATGGCATTCCACAGCCTCCCTGAAAGCAGAAGGCAGCCAGCCCTGCCAATAGAAGGCTGGATGGAGCTGTCAGCAGGCACTGCAACTGAAAGGAGTGCACCCAGCAAGAGTCAGAACAGTTTTCTGAAGGTAACAGCATACGCAGGGCAGCATGCCCAGTGTCCTCTGCAGCACTTTGCCACCACTTGTAAATACAGCTCAGCTCAAATAGCTGCCCTCCATCCCCATGCAGTCCCTGAGCTATCAGTATGTGCACCTCTATCCGAGCCTACCGGAAGCCTTAAGGTGAGACCCCCCGTATGAAGGTCATACTTGCCTTCAGCATGTGATTTTTAAGATGGCAGCCAAGGGGGAAGGACGAGAAGAGGAACAGGCAATAGAAAACAAGACCAAACATGTTTAGTTTTAGTATGTTTAATAGACTTTGTGATGTAAGCATGCTACAAGACAATGCCCAGCCGGCAGCGCGGGAAGAATACAAAAACTCTTTTGCTGAAAGATGAGAGCTGATAGTGAAAAGAGCATCAGCAAAAGTGTTTTTCAGAAGAATCCCAATGAAAAAGCTCGAGACTCAGAACTCAGAAGGGAAGGCTTGCTTCAAAGTGAACATTACAAAGATTATCTCTTCACATTGTTTATGGATCCCATATTCAAAGAGGCAAGAGAACAAGGGCGAGCCATCTGGCCCAATCCCCATGTACTGCAGATCTGAGTAAGCACACAAGCCCTTGAAGAGGATGCTTGGCTTTGTCCAGTGTGCTGGATTTAAAGGGCTTTTGTTGAGGTAAATTCCCAAATCTCTTCGGCCCTTTGGGTCCGCAGGATGAGTGTACAGCAACCAGCTATCTTGGCACCAGACATCAGAGGGAGGAGGGAAGGCAACAATACTTCCATGACATCCAGAGGGAGGCTCCACAAGCTTTTCAACCCGCTGGCCTTCCTCAAAATCCACCCCGTTGTTGTGGCTGACAGCCTGGATTCTCACTCCCTTGTTGGTCCTAGCATTGCAGTAGAGCACATTCATGCCACAGCGGTGTACCTCAGCTACCTGGCATTCCCCTGCACTCTCTTTTCCCACAAAGTTCCCCATCTCCCACGTCATCCCATGGTCAGAGCTGATGAAGCAGAAGGTATAAGAGACAGGGTGATGCTTAGGGTCAAGGATACGAAAGGCATAGGCAGGAATCACAAGGCTCCGGGCCTCATTGGACAGCTGTAATCCATGACCTGGTCCCACTGCAAAAGTGGCCCAGTTCTTGTACTCTGTGCTGATGGTGCTCTCTGTGATATCCTGAACAGGGCTCCATGTGTGTCCTTGGTCCACGCTAGTGACATAGCAGAGACGTACCAGGTTGGTCTTTGTCCTGAGCTGGTAGTGCTCAGAGATCTTTCCTGGGACAGCTATGAAGAACAGGATCAGATTCCCCGAGACCTCATCATAAACAGGACAGGGATTCATGGATCGGTGACCTTCCAGCTGTGCACTGACAATGGTCTCCATGCCGCTCCACTGCCAAGGCAGAGTGAAGAGAGACAAGAGTGAAACAAATACATCCAGGTTACAGCGTGAGGATGCACAGATAAAGTTACAGAAGAGCTTGAGAACAACTGAGGAGAAGCAAATCTGGAGATAGAGCATGAAACAGGCGTCACCAGATGTAAATTAAAAGAAATTAAGATGACTTGGATGATGCAGGACTCGCATGCTTTACCAAACAGGTGAGCTATGTCCTTTTTAAATGACTACTCATTGAGGAGCTGATAACTGCATCTCAATGCAGTAGGTGTCTGATGACACTTAAAAAAACAACAACAACAACAACAACAAAAAAGCAACAAAAAAAACAGCAACAGTAGTTGAATTGTAAGAAATTCTCATCAATATAGATATGACACAGACGTGCCAGGGTTAAAACATTCTCGTAGACACTTTGCTCTGTTAGTGCTTCTCAGGAAGTCAGCTAGATAAAGGAGCCCTCTTCAAGCATACAGCACACTGATAAATCCATTACATTCAGACTCCTACTCCCTCATTTTGAGTGTTACCTAAATGATACAACGCTGCAGGTGCAGTTAGAGGCTGCTTCTGCTAGGCAGACTCCAGCTCTTAAAGGTCCCTGTTAAAGGATTACTATTCTGTGATAAAGGATTGAGTTAGAAAAAGAAACTCCCCCCCTCCCCCCTCCCCCAAAAAAAGCCTTTAATGCATTTGCAAATGCAAGAAATGATTATAAATAGAGTATCCAGCACCCCCAGTCACCCAGCAAGATAACTGTTAACAATAATAACAACTGGGAGATTAATAAAGTAGCCCATTCGCTGGCACAGAGAAACCAAATGACACTGCTTTGCGTGGGGATACTAGCTGTTCTCAATTGTTTTTTAAACCAGAAATTAGTTCTAGGAAGATTAAAAAAAAAAAAAAAAAAAACAAGCCAGCGATTGCTAATTTACTGCTCCCTATCTCTGTGACACTCCTCATTTCTGCTTCCTTTCCACACCTCTGCAACTGCAGCAAGACTTGTGCCCTATGTCTCTCTCTGCTTCTGCTTCTCTGCTTCTACTACAGCTGCCCCACTTAATTTCCCCAACTATTGGGCAATCACGAGGTTGAATCCCAGCAGCTATAAAAGTAAATGCATTACTCATAGGCTATAATTGAGCAGGAGAGATCTGTTTAACTACAGTGGAGAGGGCAGATACATTCAAGTCCTTTGGGAGCAGGGTAGCAGTGTAGTTGGACAGTCTCCTCTATTTCCTTACCAACTGGTACCTGAACATGGTGTCTGCCTGGGTTGTACGTGCCTCTGCGCATCACTATGAGCTTGGCATGCTCATCCACCACATCCTCTCGTTCCTCAGCAAATGCCAGGATGATGCTGAAACGTGGCAGGTAAAGCAGGGCTGGAATTCGATAGCTCCACGTGCCATTCCGGAACAACACTTCTTGCTTGAGGACAGGAAACGAAGCCATCGTGCTAAGGGAATGAGACAGAAACGCACTGCATTTTAACCCATGCTCAGCCCAGCAAAGTACAACAGGAACAGATCCCACCACTTCTTGCCCTCCTTGCTCTTTGCTCTTCCTGCTCAGTGTGTTCTGACAGACACTGAAATGTCATTCCTGCTGCTTTCAGTTTCATGCTCTTCTGAAGAGGAGCCACACGTTGCACAGCAGTCAGCAACACAGACCAGACTTTGTCCAGAAACAGCCTGGTTAATCTTACTGGAGCAAAATAAGTTCTCTAAACACAGTAAATGAAAAAGCCGCCTGTGGTTTGTTTCTTCTTAATGAAATTCACAAGCTGAGATCTTTGTGGGTTTGCTTTGTAATTCAAAAGACTGACAATGATCAGGCATTTTAGCATTTTCCCCTCTGAAAAGCATGATTGCCTTTGTTGGTGGTGTTTCCAAAACCCAGAACAGAACTAATGCTTTGCCAAACATGAACTTTGAGCCCCATAAAAACAAGTCACTGAAGCAATCTCTGGCCCTAGCTATGCCTCTATTTAAGGAATGCAAACACAGAGCATGGAAAAAGAAGGAAAACATCCTCTCCCAAAACATCACAAACAGTCTGAAAGATGCCAGCCAGCTGCATCTAAGCTGAGAGCGCCGGGCAAAGCCCAAGGCAGAACAAGAGGATTTATGGACTGGGTACTGCAGGTTTCTAATTGGGACGGGCCACTGTATGCCTGAAACATTGTATGCTTTGCTGAAACAACACATGCTTTGGAAACAAGGAGATCAGCAGTATGGAGCTACTAATGGGTAAGGCGTCAGGAGGGACTTTTGGTCCGGTGAGACTCTTGTCATCCATACAGCAAGTAAGAGACGTTAGGGAGCAAGACAGTCACAGAATGGCTTAGCTTGGAAGGGACCTTACAGCCCACCCAGTCCCAACTCCTGCTGTGGGCTGGCTGCCCCCCATCAGCACAGGCTGGTGCCCAGAACCCATCCAGCCTGGCCCTGAGCATCTCCAGGGATGGACACCCACACTTCCCTGGGCAGCAGTGCCAGGGCCTCACTGCTCTCTTCCTCTCCTTGGATCCACTCAGTTTTCTGTCCTGTTGCACCAAACCTCTCTTGGGAACTGATTTATCCTGGCAAAAACCCATTGGCTGAATCCTGTTTAAGTTCTTGTTTAAACAAAAAGAAGTCTCTCATATGATGGACCAGAAACTGAAGGCATGAAAACCATGTGCTCAGCATAGATATCAGAGAGATGGGGAGTAAAATGAAAACAAAATTATAAAAAAAAAGAAAAGAAAATCAGGCCTTAGATCTCTGACGCATTGAGTGGGTAGGATGGCAAGGATAAGATGACAATACAGTATGAGTAAGAAATTGAAATGCCTCCTACCTCAGCTGAGACAAGACTTGCAATGCTGCCTTGAGCACTGAAGATTCCCTGAGATTTAGATAAATAGGAAAGTGCTGTAGTGGTTGTTGGGTGTGCATCACATCCTCACGTTTCTGAAGGCTGTCTTGATAACTCAGGATCTGCACTGTTTCAGCTAAAGCCAGCTGTACAGACTGGAGCCAGCCACAGCCCCATGGCTGCTCAGACGCAGAGCCACACGGGAGAGAACTGTCTCAATGGAATACTACTCCCTCCTCATTGCCACTTACAGTACATCAGAGCAGCTACTATACAGAAACATTACCAGGGATCTGATCTCAGCTCTCCATACAACAAGGAAGAAAAAAAGGAAGACCTTCCTAGGATAAATAACGGTGTTGCTCACCGCATAGCGGCACTGGTCTGGCTACTCACACTGATTGCAGCCATGGCTGTGTTCTCGTGGTTCCTGAAACAGAAGTTCATCAGAGCACCTCCAGGCTATTTGAAGGGAGATTATTTCAAGAGATGTTAGTCAGCCTATCTAGTGCAGCACAGGTTCCATAGCTCATGGTGCTATGCTGATATTGTAATCTTTTTGCAGGGCAGGGCAAGAGGGAGGGGGGGAAAACGAAAAAAAGGGATGAAAAATAAACAGTGGCAGAGATGTAGGCTACACCCATACGTTCTTGATGCAGAGCTGGGAAACCAGTGCCACAGAGGCTGTGCTGCAGCACAGGGGCAGAGAAGCCTAAGGGAGCCAAGTCCCTCCTGCGCCGTCCTGCCACCTGCAGGCAGCTCTGCACCGTGCCCTTCGCCCCTGTGCTGAGAGATGCTGGGTGAGGGTGTTGCAACATTCATCTTTTCCTCTGATTGCCAAACGGGGAGCGAGGGAAGGTGGGATGTTAAAAGACTGTGAATGGCTGCCATAGAAACAAGCCCTGGACACAGCACTTGCAACTGCAGTTGAGGAAAATACTAGAATTACATGACTTTTCCATCTACCCAGAGATTAAATAGGTGTGCATGTGTACACATCTACACACATTTGTGTACACACATCCTGTATGTAGGGAGTACATTAAGTCTGTACGCATATACACACATACAACACATCCATCTGTAGAGAAACTCTTCTATCTTTTTCATTAATTCACTTAAAAATCAGTATTAAGTTTCTTCTGTCTTCTCCATTGGCGGATCATCAAGCAGAGATAAAGTCACAACAGCCTGAGTTACACAGAATTAAAGAGATGCAGAATCTTAAAACAGCTTAGGGCTATTGATATACATACAAAAAGAGCAAAAACTTGTGCTGCTTTAGCTACCGTCCAGCCAGCTGAAAAATACTTGATCTTTCTCTTGACCTCTACCCAACGTCAAAGGTAAAAGCGCCAGCTACACTTCTCAGAAATAAGAGAGAAGATCATCAACAGAACACCAGATCCTGATCAGGACAGTCACAAGGTGCATTCAGAAGCTCAGACTCCAGCAGCTCACATCAGACAGGCCAGACTATTAAATTGCCAGGGGATGCATCCTTGAGAAGTGCTCTGTTCAGGGCACTGACATCAACCTGCAGTTCCTTTCCAAAGCACCAGGGAAGCTGCTGCCCTGAGTACTCCATCTCCAGGTAGATGTGGGCAGACAGAGAAAGAAGTGCATGGTGAGGAAAAGGGGGAGTTAAGCTGGAGAAAACCATTACTCAGAACTTGCAAGTTACACAGCTGCAATGATTTCCAGAGACTTGTTCCAGTGTGCCAGAAGAGTCAAAATAAATAGCAGTGGGCAACAAAGTGAATCTGTGACGGATTGAGGCCCAGAACAAGCCCGAGCAGCAGAAAGGAATAGCTGCTGGTCGTCCTTGGGAGTATTTATCCTTCCACTCAGTGGAAGGATTCCTCCAAGGCAGCTCATGCGGTTCCTTGGTGGTAGTTTGTTATTGTTTTGTTTTAAACATAGGGGAGAATCGGCCCCTCGTGTGTTTATTTTCTTTAACCCTCTCCAAGAAAAGTGACTAAGCAGGATAACATTTCCACTGGCTTCAGCTTCTGTTGAAAACCTGTCCTTAACACGTTCAGATCCAAGAAGAAATGGCAGCACGTTTGCTCCTGCAGGAATCCAGACAGGGCCCAAGCAAACACACACAAACCTATTGGGAGAGACTGGGGAAAGGCACGAGGAACACAAACAAAAGAACCTGAAAGAGTAAAGCTCAAAACTCAACGAAAGTTCTGCTTTTCAACACAAGCACAAGAAGCCAAGTCCTGCCCTTCTCCATTCAGTATCAGACCTGGACTTTCAGCGTTTTCCATATGGAAGCATAGAAGTCAGCCACGCACTATCCTAAAATACTTTTTTTGTTTCATTTAAACAAAAAAGAAAACACTTCAATTGGGATACTGCACAGATGGGGATCAAGAGAAGCCATGTTCATGTTGTACAGGGCTAAGAAATAGTAGACCCAGCCTGCTTCCAAAATATTACACAGTGCATTTCAACGTGCAAGCCTTCCCTCCTATTTAAATGGAATGACTGTACCTATTTCCACTGAAACACAGCAGCAGAGAGCTCTAGTTCCAGCCTTCTCCTTAGACCAGGTCCTGCACTAAATCTAGGACTCAGCTACTCTTTACAAGCCAGGCAGCACCAACACGTCAGCCTCAATGTCAAGTCAGAAGGAAACGTTATCAGCGAGACCAGTCAAACAACAGATCTTAAACAAAAGGCTCTTTCCAACGTTCAGAATTCAAGACTAAGGGCACTTTAAGGAGTGACTTTAATCCAGCTGTCAACTGGATCAAACTTTTTAACTATGCTACAAACAGAAAGTTTTCTTTGTAGCATGAGCTTCATGCCATACTTAGAAGGGGATTTTTAGCCTCCTCGGTAGATGCTTTCCTAAACAATCCATCAAGTTCTGCTTTCAAAACGTAGCTCAGCCTGGCAACGGCTCCTGTGCTTTATAACATAGGTTTTCTCAGCAGTACAGAGAAATTACATGAAGCAGCTTTGTTTTTTCTTAGCATATGTTTGTTTGTTTGGTGGAGGACTACACACACTCCTTCCTGAACCTCCAAAATGATGTATTTACCTTTTTAGCTCCCAGCAACACCCGCCGTTATGCAGAGAATAAAAAGGAGGTAAACAAAAGGAAAAAGAAAAGGAAATACCTCTCTTCACTTTGTGCCTCCTGGAAGTCACGTCAAAGGTAAAGGGAAAAAAAAAAAAAGAAAAAAAAAGAGAAAAGAAAAACACTCCTATTGAATACAATAAAAGGGAGGATCACCACACTCTCACCAACTTGTCTCCAACCTGCAAGATTATTTATGTTGGCAGCGATGTCAGCTGTCTCGGATCCCCCGGGAAGAGCCAGCAGCCAGCATGTATACACAAGCTGACATTTAAATAGCAAACCTGCTTTGCATAGAAGGGGAGGTTCCATGTGAGCAGGACAAATGTTAGGGAAAGATTTTTAAGCGTTCATAGTAATTAACGTGTTTCTACCTGCATGGATTGACAGGACTGTGTTGCTGCTGATAGTTACACCATTCAGCATGCTGTCATATCCTGGTCTTCTCGTCCCCTCATGCTGAGGAGGGTAAAATTCCTTCAATCCCTACGTGCAGACTTGCAGTGCGTCCTCTCATAGAGCTCCTGAGCACCATGAAAGTTTGCTGAAAGAAGTCAGAAAATTGATATAACAGCGGGTGAAATTGCTGTGTCAACCTAATGCATTTCTCTGGTTGGCTTTACCCACCTCCCATCCATCAGTACGCTGTTTTGAGATGAAGAAATGGGTCAACACAGGAATCTCCAGGCCGTAGTACAGGAACAACATGCTGGTGTATGCAGGTGCACTCCCCCAGCAGCTTATGTGGAGGTGCTACCAGTGCCCATCTTCACCCCAGCAGCTGCAGTCAATGAAGCAATGAGCAGGGTTGAGTAGGAGGGAGTGTGAACATGGGGTCCTAGTATGTATTGGGAGGCTGAGGGAGAAGAGAATAAGGCCATTGATTCTCCCAGATGTGGCCTGCCTAGCTTAAAGGCAGCACCTGCAGCTTCTACTGCTGGGAACAGCCAAGCAAATGCTTTCATGATGTACCTTGAGCTGCTGATGCAACGTGGAACTGCTGCTGTTGTTAGAGATGGCCTTGCCTTTCCTTTTCCTTGTTGTTTCTCTTGCTTTACTCTCTTCTCTACTGTTTCCATTGCTGCCATTAATGCTTCTTGTCTCTCAATTTACTGGGGGAAAAAAACAATAACAACAATAATCCTGTAAACAGATCTTGCTAGTAATGTAAAAGGACAAAGCAAGGCCTACTCACTTGACAGCAATTGTGATTTTGATCTGTGCAAGCCAAACACAGAGTTGCAAGGGTGTGGATTTACAACCAACCAACTTAATTAAATTCTTTTGTGTTACCATCTTCCCTCTCTCTTGAGCAACCATGCCTCCTTTCTTGTGCCAGTGCTGATGCTCATCTTGCTTTGGCAAGCCATCAGAGGATGTCAGTTTGGCAGAAAACTAATCTAGGGGAAAAAAAAAAAAGGAAGGAAAAAAAAAGTGAACAGTTTTCTGCTGGGTCACTGTCCTGGACTGCGTCAGCAGAAGTCAGACAAGCAGGGGAGGGAGCAGGAGCATGGAGCTGTTGACACAAGGAGCAGACTACCTCTCTGTCTGGCAGCTGGCCATTAGAGCACATTAGCTACGTCATAAAACCACACCCCATATTTATGAACCTCACCTTAGCTGGGCAAGCAAAGTATTGCCTGAACTGAGAGACACAAAAGGAGCCCGAGGGCATTCGTATTTTGTTGTATCTGGAATCAAACAATAGTCAGCACAAGGGAAAACCCCTCAAGAGACAAAGGCATTGATATCCATGAAATAATAACTTCTAACCTGGAAAAAATCCAGACAAGCAAAACAGGCACCATTAAGAAAGAAGGAAAGACACTGGGAAGGCTGCTAAGACAGTGCCAGAAAGCAAGACCAGAACAATTGCTTTGTGGATTTCACCTTTTTCCCTGCTCCCTGGCTAACGGCTGCATTGCTCAAGTGGTGTTGTGAGTCACATGCTGCTTCTGCAGTCAGACAGCTCATAAAAGCAAGTTTGTTTCACACACATCACTTTGCTTGGCTCTAGCTTAAAACTGGTTGTCCATTTCTCCTTAGAGAGGCCCATCCCAAATGTGGCTGGCAGCACATGCTATGGTGGCAACGCTCCGTGCTCTATAGCAGCAGCACCTGGGTTGTAGGGTGGCTGTGCCTCTGGCCACCTCCCAGTCCCCACTGCCCTCACTCTTCCTCCCCAAGCATCCACACAAAGTGGGTTTCTCAGTGTAGATGTGCTTGGCTCAATCCCCCCTGCTTCCTTCTGCTGTAAATCAGAATCAGTGGCACAGTGAAGTTTAAGATAAGTCTGGGGAGAATCAAGCTTGTCATTTCTGTTATTCCACACTTACTTCATCGCCTTTATGTCTGATTGTTGTAATGAAAACGTTTTTAAAAAGGTTGAAAAATGCAAATGGGGTGTGTGGGTGCATTAATAAGAGGATATAAAAATAATGCAGAAGATAATGTAATGAAAGAATACTGAACAATGGAGCATTTGCATTTGGAGGACCACGTTCAATTTTGGGTGCCACGTCTTAGGAAAGATATAGCAATAGCTGCAAGCGAAGGCTAAGAATTCAGAAGCTAATGCTGGTGAGTGTATGTGAAAACAAGTAGGGAAACAAGAGATGTTGCAATTAACAAGAGCGACACACGGTCCATTAAAAACTGTCGGCTATATTTCCTTTGCAAAATGTTTAAACCTGAATCCACTGTTTGTTAAACAGCAAGGAAGGCGGGCAGGCTCGGGTAGTTCTGTGTGATGGCTCAGCTACAGAGTGTGGCAGCTGTCATCACCCAGCTAACATTAAAATCGAGGTGCCCTGTGTGGAGTCAGGCTGTAGGAGAGAGAATTACACTGTTCTGCAAATTTTCAGTTACAGCACTATGGGCTGCCCTCCAGGTGTTAGGCAATATGGCACCGTTTGTGCAGAACACGAGTCCTGTGGACCTGGGGGCTGACTGCTCTGTTAGCAAAAACAAAACTGAGAAAAAGCCCAAGTAATAATACTGAATCTAACTCATGCAAGTGGTCACTTTCCCAGCAAATCACAGATTGTTAGTATTTCCCTTCCTTGTGGAAAGACTTGAGCAAAATCACAAACATTTACTTCCTCTACCCAAGGAGCACCGCTATGACCCTGCCTGGCTGCTTTCTGACCTTCCACAGTGAGCTTTGTGTTCATCATGGGGAACCTTCTGTCCCCTGGGAAAGACAATGTCCAGTGCCTATAATATATGGCATACCTTTCTGCCATTCACTCTTCTCACTGAGACCAGAAAAAGGAATACGTTTTATTTTGGTAACAAAATGGAGGGCAATACGTACAAAAAGAGGATTGTGGAAGCAGGATTTATCTAGTTCTCAAAGTAGCAAAGCGATGAGGAGTTGCTCCGTGACAGCTTGGTTAATTTAATGACAAAAAAAGTGCAATAAAACCGGATTCTCTTGCCTTATGTCCCCTCCCAGCTCTGGGGACACTGACAAACAAGTCTGAAGCATGAGGTCCACCTGGGAGTGACTCCTGTGATAGCACGTCCCTCGTGTCCCACTAGCTCGCAGAGCAGGAGTGCACAGTCTGACGGTGACTTTGAGTAATCATTACAAGAGTAATTGCTGACAGCCCTGTGTGCCAAGGCCAGGCCCTCAGCTGATATAAAGGGACAGTGGCATTGGTGGTCAGAAAGCTATGACAACCAACCCCAGATTAACCAGAGCTTTACTGAATGAATATTTGGGTGTCCACAGAGTAGATAGGGTGTGGGCAAAATACAGTTGCTATCACAAGAAATAGGGTAATGTTACAACCAGTTAAAACAACAGGGCAGTTGGCAAGTCGGGTGAACTTTAAGAAAGAAAAAAAAAAATCATAGGAAAGGCTAGCATTAGCTTCAGCAGGAGATATGAGGCTTTATGCCCTTCCATCTGCAGGCTTACAAATAGCAGGTGAGTTGAAGGAGTTCCAGGATGAAGAAAAAGCTGTCTCCTAACTATAGCACTGCATAGATATCTGCAGGAAGTGGGGTTTTTTGGTCTTCCTTCGAAGCACTGGGCTCTAAGCTGCTTACAGAAGAGAGACATTCATTTAAGCAAGCCCACTTGCAAGCACAGCAAATGTAAGCACAACCTGAATTGGAAATCAAAGTATTTCGGGGGAGAAAATTATAATGCATTTGGATGAACAGTTACAAAAGGCCTTGTAATCAAACCAGCTGGGTCTGCTACGTTCCAGGTGTCCCAGAGCCCAGGTGTGGGAACACACGTGAAGTGTAAAAACTGACAGGCTAAAAATAATCACAAGCATGTTGGGTTTGTCATCTCAAATGGCTGGAAATAATGTAAAGCAAGAGCAGTAGCTCGGCCAGTGGGGCTGAAAAGTGTGAGCAAATGGCTTTTGCTGTTTCCACGTACTTGAGTTTGCAGATTTGAAGAGAAGTTTCACCTAGTTTTATACGGGAAGTTTTGCAAAGCCCTGTCAGTAAACCTTTGGCACAAGCGGTGCAAAGGGCCTTCAGAACGTGTTTGTACTGACTTACCTGGCTAAAGGGAAAGCTGTTCCTTTAAATTGTTTGCTGTGGCTCTGGAAACTGAGCAAACAAAGTCAGAGGGAAACTTCCCTTTCAAGTGGAACTGTCAGAAGGTACAAGGACTGAAGGACAGAGATCTTCAATAGGACACACCTGCATCGGGATTCAGAGCCGAACTGCAAATTTCTAACAACCTGGGGGAGTTTAGTCCTGATTTGTTGGACACACCTAACCCTGATGGCAAATGAGAGCCTGATTCGGCCCCAGACAGTCAGGTGAGTAAAATCCTATTCTGGGGGGATGCTAGAAGAGGAGCGGTCTGAGGAAAAAGCCTCAAAGGCACAAATGCAGTGCCTGAGAAAGAAGCGGCTTTGCTCTGCCAGCAAAGTCACCTTGAAGGGACCCCGTGCAACCTGGATGGAGTGCAGCTGAAATGCCGGCTGGTGGAATGGAGGCACTGCTGGCACAGCCCGACAGGCTGCACATCCAGCAGGGAGGAAACCAAGGCAGAAAGGAGGCTCAGACTGCACTAAATGGGCATTAACGTGACCAACTAAAGAGCAAACATCCCCAGAGCAATCAATCAAACCGTGCGTCTTTTTCCAGGGGCAGGACAAGCTGTGATTTTTTCCTGGCAAATGCTTGCGTGTGATCTTGCTTTTAAAAAAAAAACAAAACACAGAAAGAAAGAAAATAAAGGCAGGAAATATGAAAAACAGCCTGTTTTCCTCCTAAGGGCAGGCTGATCTTTCCCTTCAGCTGAGCTGTCCTTTCTCTCTCAGGAGACCAATTGCCCTGTATCCACTGTGGCTGTGAATGCCATCCCAGCAATGATAGATATTTTTAAATGCGCCAAGTAAACAAGAAATCAAATCTCATAAGAAAGAGCTAGCTCTGGAGGTATTAACCTATTGACAGATTCAGCGTTACAGCAGATCTGCCAGCTCCAGACCTAATCAAAAGTAGGAAATGGCACTGAAAAAAATAGGTATTTTAAAAAATGTTTTCCTGAACATATAAAAAGGTCCAACTGGACTGCATTCATCTCAGGAGATGGATGGAAATTTTGTTCAGGACTGATCTTACCCAGGCTCAGATAAGGACTGATAAATCCAATCCACTTTAAAACCAGCTGTAAATATAAGAGTATGTGTGAAACACCACAGTAATTGACAGAAAAGAAATGCCTGGAGACAAAGAATGCATTGTCCCACACTGCCTAATTTTGGGAGAACATTTGCAAGACAATGTAAAATGCTTTAACTGTATAATTACCATTATCTGTCCCTGTGTGTGTTGGCAATGCCTGGGGTTTTTACTATAAGTCTGCTTTTGGCAGGAGCTTGTTCTGTGTATTTCTGTCAGCAGTAATATCACCATCTTTACCACAATAGTGTCTGGAGGCAGTGTTTCATGTTCCCAAGTAACAGCCCATGGAAGCACCCCCATGTTACACTTGGGTATAAAATAAGAAAAACTGACAAGATTCAGTGAAATCTAAAACAATCTAGAAACCTTGGCTCCTTCCTGCCATCTCTTTCCTAGCCAAAATCAGCTCTGCATCAGATAATCATGAAAAAACAGATCTGGCTTAATCTGCAAAACCTGGACCTTGCTGTCCAAAAGGGGGCACTTCCTGAGACAACGACCCCCTCAGCTCTAAGGAAACTTTGGGAAAGCAACAGGGAATGACAGCTCCAGACAAAATACCTGCTCTTGGGTTAGGAATGTAGGAAAATGCAAATGAATAGAACAAAAAAATAGATAATATCCAAAGAGGTTTTTCTTTCTTTTTAATTCAACTATCATCCAGAGCTCTTTTGAACCAAGATTCTGTCTATGCCATGCTCTTGCTTGAGCTCCTTGCTGAGTTCCTGCTCAAGTAGCTCCCAAGGAAAAGCCGTAGGAGAAACGTATTAGAATTTATATAGTATGGTGCAGTTCTCCCCCTCTAGCAAACAGGGGACTGAGACCCGGGAAAATCCCCGACTTGTTCAGATTGCCCAGGGAATTGCAGCAGAGCTGAGCAATGAACCCTGCCCTCTCAGGAGCTAACTCAGTGCCACTGCCGTGGGATTTCCCCACACTCATCGCCACGTTGCTCCTTCCATGCTTAAAACTGGGGAGGGAAAGAACTGCTGTCAGTGGAAAGGTCTCAAAGGAGAAGCCCTGCCAATCTTTTCTAGCACTTCCACTCTCTGAAGTGCTCTGAAGTGAGCTACGCAACTGTGGTTGAGGAGACTGTGTCACTTGTTGGACAAAAAATAAACACAGTGCAGATGCACATGCAGACAGCGCTGCAGGGGTGCCTGTTTTTTGGCAACACATCGCTGCCTGCTGCTGTAGCTGGCAAACTGGATGTGACTGCCAAAGCCCAGAACTGGTACCCCAGTCCTAGGACAGAAGAAACCGCTCTGCACTGGGAGCAGCAGTCCTGCCAGCACCTGCCTTCTTGCCAGGGTCTATCCTCTTGGGGCCAGAAAGAGACATTCTGGAGAAGTTTGTATTTCTGATGCTGCACAGTTTCCAGAGTTGCTTATCAAGTATTTTTTCCTGAGCACTTGCACAATCAGTCCAACAGGCCATAAGAATAGCATCGGTTTGTATGAGGTTTTAATTTAGCAGCTGACAAGGATAGCCTAGCAGCCTTCCAAACCTGCCTGGCATTTCAAACCAGTAGAAACCAGGTTAACAAGATTCTGATGTCTGTCCTGACTTCTGGCTTGCTTGCAGCTACAGATTCGCAGGCAGACTCATCAGACGCTCCTTGGGTCCTCCACCCAATAACCACTGGGGGAAAAACTGAGAGCTCTACTATTCCTTGATCAACAACATCAGCCTCTTCTTTCCCTGCTTCTTTATAAACTCTTCCAAATAAAACTCCCTTTGAGTTCTTACCTCTGCAGTTCAAATAACCACCCTTGCTCATGCTTCCTTAACAAGTGTCTCATACACAACAGCACATCCAGAAATAGGAGTGGATGACACTGTTTTTTCCCCAAGAGCAGCGCGGGTGTTGTCTGCCCCAGGGAAACTGGGCTTGTCTGCTTACTAACCAGTTTGTCTTGAAAAGTTTCAACCAAGACATCTGCTAACCCCATCTCCACGTATCCTGGCATTACTAACCCGCCCTGCTTCCAGTGAGGCATTCTGCCCGGGACATTATTTCTCATACCATGTACTTGGCTAAACCATTTCATCACTGACTAAACTTCCTAAGCCACAGTGTTTCAGTTTTTAGAGGCTGTGGCATTTCTGGACTAAGCTTTATGTTGTATATTCTTTCCATGTGGGATGTGGAATGCTCCACATGAAGAGAACAAATGAAAAGGAACGAGGACCCTCCACTCCCTTTTGCATGGTAGCAGAGGCAAAAACATTTCCTAATCAGCAGGGAAAAGGAGAGGAAACAGGGTTCCTCTAGAGACAGGTGTATATAAAAATGTCAGTGATGTCAGAAGAGCAAGTCATGTTTTATACCTTCTTAAGATGCTCTCCACATCTTCAAGCAGGGATGTACTTTCACCACTGCGTATGCACTAATTTAAGGAAAAGAATAAAAATAAGGTCAGCTTTTTCTTTAATTAGTTTTAAGAGCTTATAATGAAAACCAGAAGGACTTGTAGATTTCCACTTTTACTCTTCTGTGTGCTTTATAAATTAGGTTAAGTCTCCCACACAGATACAAAATGTGCATGTGTGTTTATAGACATGTTTATACATACATGTAAAATACTTTAACATCTAAACTGTAGCTGTATCTACTGCAGGAGGCACACGGAAATAAGCATGGAATGCAATAGGGTAGGGCTGGACTACTCTGAGATATAGGGACCAAACAAATATATCCATAAGCAGAGACTGCATTTACTGATTATATACAAGAAAGCACATATTATTAGTCATTACTTTTGAATCAAAAAAGTAACTAGTTAACAGCAGAAAAGATAAATCATTCTGGCAGCAGAAAAATATGTAGTTATTGAGCGTTACTCATTAAGTGTATATGTATTGATGTATATAAGTTAATTAAGACGGAGTAGCTGCTATAAACACTCAATTTTTCATGCAGAGGGAGTTGCATGAAGGCATATCTGTTCCTGTCATGTGTAAGTAGCCATTTATAGGACACACTCACTTTGTATCTATGTTTACACATGTACACTTCTACCCATAGAAGGTCCCACAATGCCAGACTGAATTCTGGAGACATTTTTATATCTAGGCAGGCCGTGTGACTCATTTTTAGCTGCTTTTAACGTGCTGGTTTCTCTCTCTAAGCCTCGTTTGCTTGCTCTCATGGTGTCTAATGCACATGGCTTTGGAAGCTATATTAAATGAATCCAACGTCTTTATTTTTAGTGCCTGAAGTGTTTCTAAAACAGGTTCTCTGTAGCATATGTGCAAGACATAAAGGTTTTATTGTCACAAGCGTGTAATTAACTGCATAATTCTCTCTTGGCCCTGCTTGCTGTAAATATGGTACCATCGCTAAATCACTGCAACAAAACCATTTTGTTCCACTTTTCACCTGAAAGACTAGCTCAAAATCCGAGTGGCTGTAGTTTGATGCTGTTAGGAGTGGTGGTAGCAACACTGCTGTTTACAAGAGATATACGAAATACGTGGTTTTGTAAACGTGTAGGGCCAAATAATGTAATATGCTTTCAGCCAACATCCCCAGACTTGTCTACTTTATCTCTCTGGCTTCTGCTGTGAACCTCTCTGGTCTGTGTCTCACTTGCTGGTCAGCCTGTCTCCGTGCTCCTCCTGGTTTCTCCACTCCCCTGCCTTAATCAAATATTACCTCGGCCTTGTACCTAGATAGTTCAAATTCTTTTGTGAAATGTCACGTACCTTTGCTTTGGACAGGCCCGTGTGCTTAACTGTCTCTTGCAGCCATTTGAAAGAAAGGGTTGGGATTGTTGGCAGCTCCAAGGAGGGCTGTCCCAACCAGAAACATAAATACACGTGTAGCCAGGCAGCAGAGTGGCCTGATGGCTTTAGTCGTGGCCGTTGAGGCATTAGCAGGCTCAGCTGCCTGAGCATCCTCCCTCTGTCAGTCAGCTCCCCTGCAGCAGGGGTGGCACAAAATGGGACATGTGAGAGCGCCTGACTGACAGCACTTTGAAGGCTGCGCGTTAGCTCAAACCTCTGATGAGGCTAAATGAATTCACAGCTACATCTGCCACAGCCCAGGGCTGAGTCTGTGGGCGTCGCTATTCCCCTGACTCTGACAGAAATATCTCCCAATGCAAACGCAGGTCTGAGCCTGCGTGGAGCCCTGGTGCCTTCAGCAGGGCCCACCGGCGGTGGCACTCCTTCAGGGGCTGGCAGCCACGTGAGCAAGAACAGCAGCAGATGAGTAAGGCCTGCTGCTGGATTTTGGACTGCGCCCCTGCTTTATCCTCATTATGATGCACAGTGGAATACTTTAGAGATGACATTCCAGTCTGCTCTTAAAGCGGAGGAATAAGAGGAGAAAAAAAAAAAAAAATCCATGCCTCAGACACAAGGATGTAATGGGGGAGTGGTGGCGGTGGGAGGCAGGGGCTCGTGCTCAGTTTGCAGAATCAAAGCGTTTTAGAAAGAAACTAATATGATGTAGCAAAATAAGCATGCTGAAACTGTATTTAAAGAATTAATATTAAAGAAGCCACATTCACCGTGAGAAGTTGAAGATGGTGCTAAAAGAGCCCCATCTGGTTCATCAGATAGGCAGGAAAGCTGCATCCCTACATTCAACGTGCAAAATCTTCCAGATGAGGTCATTAATTAAAACAAGTTTGCACACACAAAAAGGAAGAAAAGACGATATGGTTGTCTTGACTTTCTGCAGTACAAAAACACTACAGCCAAGACAGTAATTTCTGCATTGAGCCCAACGCTTTCCAAACATACTTTAAATGAGCATCCAGTCTCTGTGTCAGAATTTAAGGTCAGAGCAAAATGAACACACTGCTACATAATTCACTGCAGGGGTTCACTGCCCTCTGTGCTAAAACACTTGCCTTCCTTCTGGTCTGACACAATCCTTGCATGTTTTGTGTGCCTGCTCAGGCAGATGCATGCTCTTATCTTGTCCACGGTGGTAGGGATACATTAGACAATCATATGAGGGCAGTTCATCTTCTGTGCCTGTGTGTCCCTATGCATAGAAACTGTACAGTCAGGTTGTACTCATACAAGTTAGTTCTTGCTTCAAAGCATACCTGCATTGCATACCTGGAGACTTCAGGCTATCTCTGCTACTGATCGAGCAACCTCCCAGACTAGGCTACAGCACTGTAGGACACTGACAAATGAAGCATTTTTCATTTCAAAATCACCAGGCATAAGGTAAGCATATACTAAGCACAGTACTTGAAACTTTTCAGTCAGATAATAGCCTTTGCCTTATTTTTAAGGGAAATAACATATCAGGTGATTACCCAGAGCAACAAATCACGAGGGGCAGCAACAGCTGTTGTGCTGGAGCCCTGCAGGACTGCTGCTGAGATTGGGGTCATGGTGTGAGATGAGGAAAACAGAGAGAGCACATGTGAGTCCACAGAGCCATGATCTCAGCTTTCAGGGTGCAGCTCCTGCTATGAACAGTTGTATTGCCCACTAGATATAACTGATTTACAGAAAAAATGCCACATTATTTAAAATGGGCAAGTAAAATTTCTGTACAGTCACATTCCTGGAGGTTGTTGAATTACGTGTGAGTCAAAGTGCATATCTCTAACATTGCTATATGTGTATCACTTGTTGCTTTTCACTGTTGCCATCTTTCATTGCTCTACAACCTTTCCCCTGCAGTCTGTTACTTCTTGAACTGCAAGATAGGATTTGGTTTCAAAGCAAATTCAGTAGATGGTGACGCTGCAGCAAGACATGATATCAGAATATGAGGTGAATGCAGTTGGGATAGATTATTCCCATAACAAGACTTGGCACTCAGCTGCCTGTGACTATTATAGGTGAATACCTTTGTCAAAAATTAACCACAATCACTTAGACAGGGAGAGCTGTTGTCCACACCTGCTTGATTCATTCCTTGTCTGACATTGAGTAGCTTGACTGCTATCAGAATAACATAACTTTGAGTGTATCCTTTAAACCCATCCCTCTTATTAACACACATAAAGCAATTGCAAGTCAGGACTGACATATATGTAATGTTTTCCTAATTTCTTACAGTATTGGTTGTCTAATTGGAACCACTGCCTTCAAAATTACATTCTCTTCTTGCATTCTTATTAATGAAAGAAAGAAATACTTACATTCTTCATAGCCACCATAATAAGCAACTCTCCTTTCGCTCCTGCCTCTCCTAGAAAACAGAGAAGTCTTTCCCTCCTCCACTTTTATAATCACTTTTGGCCAACCATCCTGCTTGTTAGGGACTGCTCGGTAGCCCAGCAGTGCTCCTGCTGTTCAGTATGGATGCTCTTCATTTCTCTGACAATGACAAAGACAAAAAAAAAAAAAAAAGGTATCCTAATAAAAGACAACTGCACTGGTTTGATGGTACTACTAAACACATTGCTATGGCTCTGGGTAACTCAGCAGTTTCGCTTGGTCATACAGAAAGCTCTTTCTCAGTCAGAAACCTCTCCATCCATGCCCTGTGAAGCACAAAGGAACTTTGATATAGAGAAGATTGTCACAGATCCAACTCCTTGGGCAGTTTATGAAAAAGAAGTGAATGAGAAATAAGTGCTTGTTGGAGTTTATCATCAGGAAGGATTACACAATGCAATATTGGTTGTGATCCAGTTAACTGAAGTGCTTCCATTACAGTTGCAAGGATCAAGCCTTTGGGGCTTCAGTTTGGGACAGGAAGAAGCACAGTCAGAAAGGCATGGAAAAAGAAATAGCTCCTTTCTTTCTTTTCAGGCTGTCCCCAACAGCAGCCGTTTTTATTTTGCTGTTCTACTGAGCCACAGAAACAGCCTTAGTGAATCTCTATACCTCAGTGTAATTTACAAACCAAACTTAACACCACAACCAACAAACGAGTCCTTCATACGCTTCCAGTAACACTGGAAGTAGTCCCAGAGCAACCACCAGCTCCAAACAGCCCCAAAGCAGTGGCAGAACTGGAATCAGCATGTAAATTTAGCAGCCACGAGCTGCCTGCAATGGTTCAGGTTATGAAAGGAAAAAGACTTTCTGATCTGTGGAGCCAGGAGGCAGAACAACTCAGGCTCAGTGCAGGATTTCACATTGCGCCCCATCCTTTAAAAGGACCCTCAGGAATTTTGGAAAGCAGGGGATTTGCAGATGATGTCCAGGCTTACTGAAATGATCCTGGGGCAAGCAAGAAGAAAGTTGGTGGCACACATGGGTTCAAAATCTGTTACAGTATATGATACCTTCTAGAGTATCATGTGTCTTGGCCTTTCTGTAATGTAACAAGCCAGTGATACACAGAACATCATAACAGCATTTAATTACTAACCTATAGCACCACATCCCTAGTGAATTGTCAATTTTATATTCGCATTTCCTATACAGCAGCTCTTTCTAGTACTCATGTTAGCCCCATCAGTCACAAAATCACACGTACTTAGAAAGGCCATAACAGCTATGAGAATTCAACGAGACAAAGCCAGCGATGAACACTGAAGTTCACATTTTATCTGCTTTTAGAAAGGCCAAAGGCTCTGCTGCTGTCATGCTGTCTCAGAGGTCTGACTTCTAGAAATGCCTGGGAGTGCTGGCACAGCCTATGCACTGACACTCAGCAGTCTGTGTCTCTGAGAGGGAACACTCGCATAGGAGGGAACATTGGCATAGGAGGGCTACTCTGGGAAATAAAACCAAGTCTGCACACTCCCCATTGCTACCTTCTCTTTTCATTCTACTTTAATTTCATAGCAGTTAAGGACTTTTCTTCACTTATCTGCACTGCGGGAATGAGTACTGTTATAAGTGTTAGGAAGGCACTCAGCCCTATAAAACATATTCATTCTTCTATTACAGTGCACAGCACGCAGATAATAGATGGATTGACAGAGCTCTCTCTTTGGGTTTTACTTGATACTCCATAACATTTTCATCTGGCAAACAAGAACTTGGCCATTAGCAGTACCTGCTGTAAATCAGCCAGCAATCTACTGCTCACAAGAGACAAATGGTGTGGTCATCAGTGGAACAAATACAGGACAAAGATGAACTCGTAAAAAGCAATGCTTAAGGTGTGGGGTGGTCTCCTTGCTCACAACGATATCAGTAAAAAATCCTGGAAGGTCCCCCCTACCCAAAACAGATGGTGCCTTGCAGCCTCTGGACTATCTAGGATTTTCCCTTCTCATGTTTTGCTCTGTTTTGTTTGCAGGTCTCCAGCTCTCATTCAGATAAAGCTGATGGCATTGTGGACACTACCTGCCTGCTGCTGTTCTGCTGCTGGTCCACCCTCTCAGGTGCTCTAGACGAGATCTGAAAGCCATGGATGGGCATAGAGGAGAAGCTGCTGGTGGTTTCCAGCAGGGTATTTCTCAGACATTTTCAGTCTCTGAAGGTGAGGAAGAGTCAGAAGGTGCTGACTCAGCGACCCACGAGAGGGACTCTCACACACACTACATTGCCATTCAAAGAAATTCCAAGTACTATCGCTCCATGAGGCTGCCAAAAAGGTCAAAGAGAAAGACTGCAAGAGAGGCAACACATGCAGGACGTGCTGCAGGTGAGTACTGACCCAAACAACATTAAGCTTTTTTTTCCCATTGAGATTAAGAACTGTAGGAGTCGATGAGGTTAGGAAAGCAATAGAGAAAATAGAGAGCAGATTCAGTGCTCAGCACACTACAGAACACCCCACTCCACGGTATGGCATGGGGTGCCATCTTTGTTCAGCCTGGAAATGCAAACTGGTTGGTTGTTAAGACATGGGGAAGAATCTAAAGAAGTCTGTGACTCTGCTCTGCCAGCCTTCCACTAAGAGAGTTTAGAATTTAAACATGGAAAAAAGCTGTCAAAAAAAGTAGGAACTTCTTTAGAACACAGAAAGGATATATTGAAAAAGTGGAATCTACACAAGTAACGGTATGGCAAGCTGAATGCCATGTGGAGTAAATAGCCAGCAAAGCAAAGCAGTACACGTGGGGACCAAGCCTATGGAAATTGCAATGAAGGGAGCAAGATTTCTCTGCCACCTCTCACTGAAGATAGCTCTGCACAACACTTACGAGCTCTTTGGATCTGGAGGCTGAAATAGGAGAAATACTGCCCAGAACGTGTGTGCACTGAGGCATGGCTTGAGTATAGCAGTATGAACAAGTTGGCCAAAAGGCTTCTGAGGGAACAACGTGGGGCTGCTTCAGCTGAGGGCCAGGGAAGATCAGGGAAAGGCTCTGTCCCTGAGGGCGGTGGGCATGAACCAGCTCCAGGGCAGTGGGCACAGCCCCAGTGCTGCAGCTCAGGGAGTGCTGGGACACCACTCTGGGACATAGGGCTTGGATCGTGGGCTGGCCCGGCATAGAATCACGAGTTGGACTCAGTGACCCTTGTGGGTTCCTTCCAACTTGGGATGCTCTGTGCTTCCATGAACAGTGCAGAGCATGGCTGCAAGGCGAGATGTTCACTGAGCTGGCATGTTGTCTGAGCAGCTGTGAGAGAAAGTTATGAGAAGCTGAAAAGAGAGCCAGGAAAGGAGCTATCTCAACACATTCAGGAGTGCTGGAAAGCACTCCTGCAAGCAAAAGCTTAGAACAGTTGTAATTCAAACGCTATGTGAGAGAGACCTGGAACTGTGAATATAGAACGTGCACTCTGCTAAGTCAGCGAGGTGTTCAGAGAAACTGAATTTTATAGCTTCTTGTAAAAAGAACAGATTGCAGTGAAGATACCTATTCCATTTTGAGATTATAAACTTATAAGTAATCCATTGGACTCTGAACTTTGGCTAACTGCATGAGTTAAAACGATATAACAATATTTCTGACATTTGAGTTCTATGCAAGACATCAAGGACTATTACTTTGTTATGCAGTAGTAAAGCACATCAGTTCAGCCCCTGAAAACAAACAAAATTCTCTAAGAAAACAAAGAATAGAAATCCTGCACCTCAAAATAAAGGAGGCCTGGGAAACGTCCCCAAGAAAATAGGTGTCTCCTGCCTGCCTTGCCAAGGGAGCCATGCTGTTTCAGCAGTATAAAGGCCCATTCAACTCTGTGGCAAGGACAGAAGGAAAGTTCCAGCCCTTCTCCGAGTTTCCAAGCAGACAGCAGCAGAACAGAGAGCTGCTTAATATTCTGCTACTGTTGTCAATGAGGTTTGTGGATAAACCGAGCGCTGCCAATGCCAGAGCAGACCTGCTCTCCACCCTGCCAGTGCAGCAGCAGGACCCGAGCAGAGCCGTCCTCTCGCTGCTTCCCCAGAGCGCTGCTGCAAAGCAAGCTGAGAGGAGCCTCGCCCTCTCTCCGGATCTCCGAGCATCTCAGCATCCAGACTGCTGCTGAGGAGGCCCCTGCCCTGTCAGCTGCAGCAGGACCAGCGCACAAGGACATGGCTTCTTCATACATCTGCAGCATCACAGCATCAGGACAGCAGCACAGGAGGACATGCCTCCTGTCTAGCCAGTGTCATTGAGGAAGGACAAACTAAAGGAAAGGCTAATCTTCTCTTAGCAGCTCGTTAGAGCATCCACAGGAGCTGACCTGCGTTTCTCTCCCACATATTCCCTTCCTGTGTTACATCTGTGGCTTTTTCTTCCGTATCTGCAATTGTTCAGCAAGACACACTGGAAACGTTTCTTTTCTCGAGTTTGTACAGCAGAACTTGGGCTATGAGCTATAGATCTTTCTCCAGTATGAAAGTAGCAAGTCCAGCTTTTAAACTCAGCTAGGATTGTGTAAGCAGCCTTCTCCCTCTGCTCCATTGACTCCATCCCCTCTCCCAGAAACTGGACAGCGGGGGCTTTTACAGCAGCCTCACTTGTAGCAGGAACAACTTCTGACAGCACTTGCTGACGTGCATGGAAACAAGGGATGGGTGAGCTGTTTTATCTTGACTTCAAACCCATTTGAGCAGCAGCTATCCATGAGCCTGACTTGATCTCAAATGCTAACCTGTTCTCATTTTACTTAGGAAATGAGGGGAGGAGAGGGGAAGGAAAGAAGAAGGGAAGAGAGGGTAAAGTACAGTGGAAAATGCAGGGTAGGATACCAAACAGGAGAAATAAAGACCCAAGAAATGAGAACAAGAAAAATAATCTAAAAGCATATAAATCCAGCAGAGAGAAAGGCTTTTATATAGACTCCCTTTGCAACAGTCTAGCTTTGGCTTATAGCCTAGGAGTTGTAAAATATAATAGATTCTTTCCTTTAAATGGAAAATGAGCTTGTGTTTTTTTAAGCAATCTCCTCTGACAGGAGGCTGAAATGTTTTACATATCCAAGAGGCAAAGAGAAAACTGAAGCTAGAGTTTTGTAAGCCTCTGGCACTGTTTGAGGCAGCTAAAGAGTCTGTATTTCACCCTTTCCATCTGAAAATCCATAGCACTGATAAAACGGGTGGGGCAGAAACCAGCTTTGGTTAGTGTTGACCTGACTGTGCTGTCACCAGTTTGAAATGCAAACAGAATTATGACTAAGACCAAAATATTTCTTAAAAAAAAAAAAAAACAAACAAACAAAAAAAAAAAAACACAAACCAACAAGGCCATTTATCAGCAGGCCTCGAACAACAGGAGGTTTCATTTGAAAAGTGAGATGCACCACCTCCTGCCAAGTACTGCGGTAATAAGCCACAGACTTTACACAACTTTGGCTCCCTGTGAAAGGACTGGAGGTTCATCTGAGGAAAAGTAGAGAAGCAAATAAAAGTAAAGCTCCTGTCTCACCCAAATCTAGCCTTGATTTATCCAGTAAACTGAACAGCTACAGCGTGCCTGAAAGCAGAGCAGTAATGAAGCCCTGACTCAAGAAACGAATATTAGCAAGAACTGGCATAAATAGCTAAACCTTTTTTTCTTAAAGAATTGCACTGAAAATGCTGGGGACCAGTGTTCAGTGGTCACAGAGCCACGTGGAGATGTAAGAACTGATACAGCACATGTACTTTCACCTTTCCTTGCTTGCAATTTGTAGCTACACCAGAAGTTGTGCAACCATGCAGTACACAAGCTGTTGACATTTAAGTCTGGCTTGAAAAGCCAAATTAAAATGTAGCATTGTGTCTGTAGTCTTCCTAGTGGTTTTGATAAAAGAAAACCACTATATAGTACCAGTGAAGATGACCCTTAAGAAGCAACTACTTTAACACGCTCTGGGCTTTCTCTTATGTCACAGGTTCACTCAAAAACAATGAGTCTGTCAAAGAGCCCCTGAACGTTTTACCTCCTAAGGGATCACCAGCTCCAGTAGACTCTAACAAGACAACTTTAGAAGAACTATTGATTCAAAGGTAAGGAATGTGCACTCAGGGTATTCACTGCACTTCTACTGAAGAATACAGAGTGGTGTCAGAACAAAAACGCTTACTTTTGAAGACGAGTTGCTAAGCTGTAGCAACCAACTCCTGCTTTCTCACCTTGGCTTGTAGTGCTGTTTTGAGTTTTGTTGTTATATCTCATGTAGTATTAGAGCTGTGGCGTGGAGGTTCTGAATGGTTCTTAACTTTTTTGGAGAAAAAAAGTGAATGAGCAGTGGGGAGGGTAACAGGAAGAGAGAAAATTTGCAAAAAGGAGAATGTGACGTAGGATCACCCAGTGGCATAAGCAAGGAGGCACTGCTACCTTAAGAAACTTGGTGAGAGAATAAGACCACCCTGCAGGCACTGCCTGATGGAATACCCCAATACAAGGATGGTCCCATTCCCAGTGTTCCCACAGGGCTCTCCTGAATGTTGGTATACAATCTCATGCAGAAGACAGGTTCTTGTATCCGAAGAAATAGCTACAAAAATGTTTCCTGAGGCATTTTGATTTTGTACTTGCTGTTTACTTTCAAGAATCAGTACCCAGTAGGGGTCTTCAGTGAGGTGGTCTTTTCTGTTCAAAATCCCTCAACAAAAAGGGAAAAGCAAGAGGCCCTGATTCCATCATCAGTATAGTGCAGGGCCAGGGGAGCCTCATGGGCTCTATGCCAAAGGTGAACCCCAGGCAGGTCCAAACTGATAAATACATGCAAGATTTACATACAGAGTGGCAATCTCATCTGCATCCTAGAAGTGTTATATTTCAAGGGGCAGACAAAAAGTTTACCTGTGTTCCTGGTCTCTTAGCTCTGCAGCTAAGCTTCTGAGCCTTGCATCTTCTAATATACAGCTGAGGTATTCTCCCCAGGTCACTCTCTGTCTTCTCATCATTGGCATGTGTAATCACAAGGTGGTCACTACCTGTGCCAGAAGATCAAGTTGACAGCACTAACACTTGCCCTCTAAAGGTGCATGCATAATACTGCATGGTGTGGTCTTAATTACTGAGCCAAGCTATATTGGCACAGCACATAGCGTACATTTCCTAATCCAGACAACAACAGTGAAAAAATTTAGCCAAACTGTCAAGTTGGATTTAAATAAATTAACTGCCCTGGCTGAAATGGATTGTCCTTTGGCACTAAACTGAGCATAAGAAGCTAGACAGTTGCAGTCTGCTGAGATGTCATAGCCATCTGTCTTCCTCTCCTTGCGGCATAATCATCACTGTCAGTCTCTGACATCCTGACACTGCCATTCAGGCAGCTCTGAAACATGCAGAAGCTGATTCTCCCTGGAGCTGGAAACAATGAGCCTGTGCTGGGAGTCAGTCTTTATCAAAGGTGCTGCTGTGCACAGTGCTTGACAGGTCAGTGCAAGTTCTAAGTCACGCGTCTGCTAAAAGCAGGCAGTGCTGCTGAGTGGCATTGCACTGAAAGCAAGCAAAGAAATCTGACAGAGAACGAGACCAGAGTTCTGGCTCAAACTGAGCTCATGTCCTCCTCCTCCTTTCTCTAAAAGATCTGCTGCAATTTGTAAGAGAACCAGCAGAAATTTGCATTGCGAAAAACCTGCAGGATTCTAAGGGCATTGCCATCATTTGCAATAATCACCATCCTCCTCCAGGAGAAAACAGGCCACGATGCAGAAGAGACAACCAAAATGTTATCAGTGATCTCAAAAAAAATGCATTTAGTCTCTCTCTGAAAGGAAAAGAACCTAGTATCTCTCAGCAAAGAGTTCTGAAAGCAGAAGATTGTTCTGCAGAAAGGAGAGTAGGAGTACTTCTGACCAGAACATAAGCCTCTCAGGAGTGAATCACCATGGTCCTGAGTGCAGGTGGGACATCAGTGCTGCATCTCTTCACACTCAATGCTGTTTTGACAGCACTGTTTAAGTGCTAGGGCTAGGCAGGCTCAATCCCTTCTCCTTGCATGGAAATGCCAATGCAAACATGTTTGCAGGTAGGGATGTCCCTTCACATATATCCATGCAACAGAATTTGGGGCAGGGAGTAACCACAATTGGGAAACATAGCAACAGAGAAATGAACATCTCTCTAAAGTGAATTCAGATGGGGTATGGATTTTAATACTCTGAATAAGTAGCAGCACTACAGACTCCTTCAAACCCACCAGTGATTTGAGTCTACATGTCATCCCAAGTCTACCCTACACCCTCCAGAAAGCACTTATTTAGAGCACTTTTATGCCTAACTAGTCTCAAATTATTTTTTCCTTATGACCTTTCTCCCTGTGACCTCCAGCTCCCCCAAAGCACTCTGGAGTTCCCCACAGCATCCTGTGGCTCCCTCCCAATCTGCCACATGGTACAAGTATCCAAACCTCCCACATGATAATCCTCTTCCCAGCTATTTGGTTAACTTCTCCAGCACATCTCAGTGCTGAGCTTCTAGCTCAGGATAGGATAACCGCAGCCAAAGACCTGGAAGGAACTAAACTCACAAGAAAGCTTCCCTTTCATACTGCCATCAGTCTTTCCAGCTTCACAGTGGCAGCAATTGTGCAGATTGAGATCACAGAAAACCACCGCTGAAAAACACCCACCCAGGGAGTCCATCCATAACTGTCAGCCTCAGCTGAAAGCAGCCACCACAGAGAGCAGAAAATTAGTCATTTCAAACCCCAGAAATGAGATCCACCAATCAGTATCTACCCTATATTATCAGCTAATAGGATGTTGACTGCTCTTCATTTCTAATACAATACAGATGTTTTATCAGCACGAGCGTGCTATTGACCTACCATTTCCCACTGAGTCAGATGCCAGCAATGATACATATTCATTGGGGCCACTAGATGCACTGGAGAAGAAACTCAGTGTGAAATCTCATGTCACAAAGCTCACTGCAAGGTCATTCATTTAACACTTCAGAGAAATCTATTTTCTTTTATGAAACCTCCAGTGAGGAGAAAAAAAGAAAAGAAAAAATCATCTAAAGCAGTGGATTAGGTTTGATCTGAGTTAATAGAATGGAAGCACTGCAACAGCAAATACAGCCACCTTCAGCAGAGAGAGGGAATCTAAGAGATACACATTTGCAAATGGATATCAGAGAGAAACAACTCCCTATGTAAAACAGTGTCGCACTGAAGGATTGTGTGAATGTGGGTTAGCTTCCCACAGCACAGCACTGTTTGTCCTGGGCAGCAGAGGGCACTGCTTATATAGCCTGATTTAACCAGGAAAGAGGGAAAGGCCTCCAGAGAGGCTGAGACCTGCATTGCAAGAGGTTGTACTCGAGTTTCCTTCTAATTATGAAATGAATCTCTTATAGTCACCTCTTTACACGTTGAGCAAATCTTTGTCACCCCATAACTTTTATTATTTGCTTTTTAGAGAAAGATAATTCTTTCCACACCCTTCTTTCTCTACAATCACAAACTTAAAAAGCCTAAGAGCAGCAGCATTTGCAGGGGAGGGGGTGGGTTGGGGTAGAAAGTTCTAAAAAATAATCATTTTTGTCTGTACAATACCCATTTTAGACACTAAATGTTATTAGCACCAAAATCTCAGATTTCACAGAACCGTAGCATTTACAATCCTACCTAGAAATGCTTCCAGCCTGCAGCCAATGGAGAACCTAATCCCAGTTTGCCCACCTATTCCATCCAGTCTCTGTTCTTCAGCTCCTTCAGCCAAGCCATGGTTTCATCACACAGCATTCAGACTCTACTCTCCAGCTCTCCCAGCACTTCTTTTAAACATACCCTGATCCTCAACCAACCCCAACTTGTGATTCTCCACCTGATCTCCTCAGGCTAATGTTTCCCACATGTGTTACTCCCTCTTCTTCCCCTCTGCAGCCCACATCTCTGTGTCCTGACATTCCCCAGGCCCATCACTCTTTTGCTCTGCATACAATCTTAGTCTCTCATCCTCACACCTGCATTCTGCAGCCCTCTCCAACTCACCGCTTCCTGAAGCACCCAGCTGTGGGCAGTTCCTCCCTTCGTAGCAGAGGAACAGTCCAGAAGCAGACTGTTCCCTTTCCATGCTTGGGTCCTCTTCCTTCTGCTTTTCAGCCAAACAGTTGTCTCGTTGTGCTGCTCAGACCCAGCACGAGGAGCACTGAGGGTACAGGAGGAGCAGCCTTTATTTGTAGTGCCTAGAACTGCACCAGGCCATTTCTACCGCTGCAGAATCAGAGATGTTTGTCTCAGCCCTGGACAGGGCACCTGTTCCCTCCACGGGCAGCAGCTCAGGGAATTTTAGATGCTAAAATCCAAGTCTCTAGTTTGTGTGTATTGGATAGAGTGCAAAATAGCCTGTAATCCCTATGGATTTTCACAGGTCAGACAAAGATAAAGCCCTGGAAAAGCCCAAATTTCAACCCACATTTCAAGAGAAGCCAAAGCTTCTCAGAGGATAAAAAGACAGGATTTCTGTTTTCTTTTAACAGCATCAAATTATATCTTCCTTAACCTAAGAAGCTGTTGAGCCCCTTTTTTAAAAGAAAGTAGCAGCAGCCTATGGCAGATGGTCAGCAAGTAAGGAGTCCTAGTGATTCTGAGCATCAAAAGGTTATAGGCAGGTAAAGATCTCATCGTAGGAAGTTCTGAACATTTTTAGTCGTCAGTAAGACTGCCAGCCCCAACAGATTTAATTAAGGTATTTTGGTGAAAGCTTAAGGAGGCTCAGGAGAACAGATGTGCCCTTGGCCTTTATAATCTAAAAATATTAGGGATGAGGAGTTCCACTTATCTCTCTGTCAAAAAAAAAAAAAAAAAAAAAGGAATAAAAATGGCATTTTTGCAATTTGTTGTCAAAAGCACTACTAAAAAACCACACGTGAGCAGAAAGAAAATCTGAATGAACCTGAAGTATGAAAATACATTTTACTAGGTGTAACGTTATTTGAATCTATTAATAACTTCACACTTCTCTGCGGATTTGGTTAGCTCAGATTAAAACAGAGCTTCTTACTTCATCTCGTGGCCTTTCTTGGTGTGAAACTCCCACTGCCTCAAGGGTTTGGGGAATGTTTCATGAATAAGATATGCTGGGTCGCATCTTCTCATTTTTAGTTCCTGAGAGTTGAGTTCTAAAAACTGCTGTAAGACAACAAAAACAAAATCCTGCATTTCAGTGTTGTTGGAAAACCAACTCCTTGCACAGCTTTATTCTAAGGACTGCTTTTGAATTCAGACAAACATAAGAACATTGGAAAGGTTGATTTGCAGCTGACCACACAGACCAAGCCTGGAACTTCGTCCCCCAACCATAGCTTAAGTAATTATATGAATTTGATAAAACAAACTAATTACAAGCTCACACTAATTATCAGGCTTTTAATGCAGCAATGGACAAGATCAGCCTGCACTTGAAGCTCAGAACTACCAAATCCCCCTTCTTCCTTTGCACAATGAATGCAAGCCCAAACCCACTCTCCTTCACCAACCATGGTCATGATTCACGGCACCAGAGCATGAGCAACATTATGAGGCCACAAGGACAATTTCCAGCACTCGTGTGCTTTGGGAACCTAGGAATTCCTGAGAGAATTCATTGTTCATATAGTGAGACAGACAAAAAAAAAACCTCTTCCAAAGTGCTACCTGGATGGCTGAGATCAGGAGGAGAGGGCACTGTTGCCTGAGCCTGCAGTTCCATGGCAGTGGAAGAAGATCCGAGGTGGCACTGCCTGGGTCCTGCCATCCATCTGTGTGTCTGCCACCTCTGCAGTGCTGGCACTCAGCAAGCTGACCCTGTGGTGAGGCAGTTCAATGGTCAAACAGACACAAAGCTAGTTCTAAAAAATAATCACGTATTTTTCTACTAGTTTAGATGCCCAAATCAGCTCACCAAGAGGGGAGCAGCTCCAGGAGCAGATCTGGGCCCAGCCTGTGAAGGAATGGCTCTCACTTGGAAGCTCCAATGGGCTGCAGTGAATCACTTGTTTGCCTTCCTTCATTCTTCACGACAAATTTGGAAAGCTTTAGAAAACCTCAGTTATTTTGCAGGACAAAAATATCCACTTCTCACTAATCTTTTTTAGTCCAGCCTCAGAGTGCTGGGAGCACTCTGTCACCTCACTTGCGAGAGCAAGCATTTCTCTGCACAGCAACTCGAAGCGGTGGGGCTGTGGTATAAAGAAAGAGCAAGACTTCAGAAAACCCAAGCTACAATTGCTTGGGAAGGAAAAACGAAGGAAAAGTTCTAAAGGAAGGGAAAGGAGGCGATTAGTTGCTGCCACATGGAGGAATAGATTTCTGATGGAAAAAGAGAAGCTGTGGCTTCTCATGGCCAGGGGGGGCATTTCACTCCTGGCTGTGTTCTCACCCCATCACAGCTTCCAGCGTTCTTATTGTCATTATTACTTTAGCAACGTTTTCCAGGTGGGATCCTTAGAAGGGATCTTTAGGAGGGATCCTTAAAAGAGATCCTTAGAAGGCACTTTCTGTTTTCTAACGTTTCTCTTGCCATTACCCAGACGTTTTTTTCATTCCAAACTGCAGTGGATTTAACCCCTGAGAGGGAAGCAGTACGAGGAGGTGCAATTTGTTAACCTCTCAATGCATGTTTCTGAGACTTTTTTTTTTAGTAGTTACATCCCAAATTTGTCCCAGGACATGTATTCGTTCCAGCAGTGTAGCATTAGTGACAGCACCTGCACTGGCTTCCCATTGCATACTAGAGAACTCCTCGCTGCTCTCGGTCCTTCCTTAGCAAACAGCATCCCTGTATTTCCAAAATTCAGCATAACAAAGGTGGTTGGTGCAATTAATGTCCTGCCTACCCTTGACTAAGAAAGGAGCTCTCAGCATGCCACCCACTTCCCGAGACCCCTGACCATGTTCCCTGGCAGCAAGATCCCAAAACAGCAATCATTAGCCAGAGCTTCAGGCTCTCTCTGACAAGACCCCGATTTTTCCATCAGTTGTGTGGTTCCTCTGACCTCCAGCCCGGGATTGGGCTGATGGTTTTATCTGAGCCTGGACTCCCCCCACAGACACTTCTGCCTCCTTAATGACCCAAGGACTGAGCGCTTCCAGCACACCAGATCTAGTTCTCACGAGCTGAGGGAGTTTTTTTTCCTAAAGGTACAGTCACGTGCTGGCTAGATACATCACTTAGTAAACACAATATAAAAATGATAAAAAGGAAACCATTTCTCATATACAGCCCGACAAAGGGATTTTATGCCGCCGCACAAACTGCAGTTCTGCTTACAGAATAAAGCATGGCTTTATATGCAATGGGGAGAAAGTGAGCACGGGAGGCATAGCTGAGCGTTTTCTGACGGTTAACTCAGTTGCAGTGTGGTGCAGATGACGTTTTTGCTGGGGGGTTACTAAGGTGGAGGGCAGAGCTGCACTCAAGCTGTCCGCAAGCACTGCGAGCAACCCAGGGTGCAGCCGTGCTTCAGAGCTCCAGAGGATTTATCCCCGAGGCGGAGAAACAATTACCTGAACGGAGAGATAGAGCTCGTTACTGAGATACTGCCTAAATGAGAAAATATATCCTTATGGAAATAGCGACGCTAAGATGGGGGGGATGACTGGGGAGATGCAAAGCCAGCCGGAGGAAACAAGCAGGGCAGGAGGCAAAGCAGGGAGGCAGCTTGGCAGCAGGGCTTAGGCTGAGCCTGCACGTTACATCCCTCCATATCGGGGTGTCACTCCCAGAGAAGAAATGCACCATCCGCTCCAGATCTGGAAGCGGTTCAGGAAAGCTCCCCTCTCCCACCCCCTATCCTCCCACCGAGCCGGCGCCGGTCGCACATAGGCACAGACGGCTTCAGGGAGGTGAGAGGTCAGCGGCAGGCAGGGCTCCACGGGGTGGGCGCAGGGTGGGCTGCGGTGCGTGGGTGCTGCGCGGGAGGCTGCTTGCTGGGAGCGGGGGGATGGAGAGGGGGCATTCCTGCGTTTGAGGAAGAAGCCTCTCTGCGGGAAAGCAGGGGATGGAGGTAAGGGTGCCCGCAGAGCCCTCGGGGCAGGGACTGCCACTGGGGGGGCCCTTGGGGAGGAGGCAGTCAGCCTCCCGGCGGAGGAGGGACCTGCGCCGGAGCGGAGCCGGCGGGGCGGGAGGGCGAGGAGGTCTCTGCGGGCAAAAGGTGGTGGGAGGCCGGGGGTACGGCACGGCGGGGCTGCGGGGGTAAAAGGGGAGAACGGGAGGGGTCTGTGGGGGGCTTTGGAGGGATTTTCGAGGCTCTCAGAGGTTCTTCGTGGGGGGCTCCGAAGGCCGTGTAGGGGATCTGAGGGGGGAGGCTGGGAGGGGCCGCAGGGGCTCTGAGGGTCCCTGCGGGGGTGACGGGGGGTTTGGCGGCGCTGAGCGGAGCTCGAGGGGGGTTCGGGAACGCAAAGAGCGGCCGCGACGGGCAGGCGGTGCTCGGAAGGTGCTGGTAGGAGCCGGTAGGGAGGGATCTGAGAGGGCTCTGTGAGGAGAACCCGCGGGGAGCCCGAGGGGCTCCGAGCAGATTTTGGAGAGCGCGGCCCCGCAGACAGCTTGGGGGGGGGAGGGTCTGAGGGATTCGGGGGAAGAGAGCCCCGGGGACGGCTGAGGGGGGTCCGAGGAGAGGCTCCGAGGGGCCGGGGGAGGCTGTGAGGGCTCTGGGGGCTTTGGGGGCGGCCTCAGCTCCCCTCTCCTTCCCACGCAGGCTGCTGCCTTCCTACCCCCGTTACCGTGGCAACCTCCCGGGCTCCCCCAGCCCCGCGCCGCCGCCGCTACCGCCGGAGCTGCTCGGCAGCCGCCTGCCGCCGCCGGCCATGGAACTGCTGGCCGCGGCGCTCAGCGCCGCCTGCGCCCTCGACCAGGACGGCTCTGCGGGACAGCCCGGCAGGTGAGAGAGGGACGGACGGGGAGGGGACGGGAGAGCGGGGGGTCCGCGCCCGGGGCTGAGGGGCCGCCCCGCGCCGCCGCCCCGCCTGAAGCTCCTTCGCTTCCCGCAGGAATCCCCCCGCGGCCGCCGAGGACAGCCCCACCGCCGCCGAGGCGTCGCCGCCCGCCCACCCTATGACGGCCGACTCGTGGAGGAACCTCATCGAGCACATCGGTAAGCGGTCGGCCCGCCCGAACCGTCCGAGCTGCGAGCGGAGCCGCGGGGAGCGATCCCGGCGCAGCGCTGAGCCCGGCGGAGTGCCGGGACGGCGTCGGGCCGAGGTGCGCGAGCCCCGATCGCCTTCTCTGCTGGGAAACCTCCGCCGTCGGCTTTAGGAACGGAGCTGTGCCTTCAGCAGCGCCCTTACACCGTCACTTGGTGCCTCGCGCTGCCCCGCAGGTGTCAGGACGCTGTTGCTCCGTTCCTCAAACTGAGATCGCTTTTGGTAATTACGAGGCAGTCGATCGTTAGGGCGACAGCGAACTTCCTGCAAAAATCTGATTCTGCACGCTCGGAAAGGCGTCAGACCGCGCTACTGAGCGAGCGGCCGGGCGGCATGACGGAGCGGAGCGGCACACGCTGCCCGCCGTCCCTCGGCAGAGCCGTCATTTCTGCCGTGCGGAGGGAGAGCCGGGGTTATGTGGGAGGCTGAGGAGGGGAGGATGGCTCGTTTCATCTCGGGAAGTGACAGTGCGAGACACTGGAACCTGTAGGGCTGTCTGACTGAGCAGAGGAGCGCTGAGCTTTTTGAGGAAGGCAGTGATCAATTCTGCACGTTGTTAGATCTGTTACTTTCTCGTGGCTGTGTAGGAACTCTTGTCCCAAGGCAGATTTGCCAGTATATCTTCAGTTTAAGGGACTGGGCTGCTGAGAGGCGTGACAAAAATACTGAAGCTGCCAGGACTTCAAAGCAACCTCGTTGCTCCATTCATGTATATTTTTACATGCTGCCAATCGGAGGATGCTGTGCGATAGCTCTGCATGCATCCATTTAACTGCACACGGGTGTGTAGCATCGTGAAGGAAGGAGGCAGGGTCTGACAGCCAGAGGTGCTACACTAATCTCCAGCAGGCAGGTCATTCCCAATGGCTGCAGCACACTGCTGCCTACCTCCCTCCTGCCTTTGAGGCACTGATGGACTTTTTGCCTGAAACTGGAGCAGAGAATTTCAGAAAACGTCTCTGGACCCCCTGAGATTTTTACACAGCTTTCAGTGCAATAACGTTTAGTTTAAGAGCGCTGCAAACTCTCTAAGGCGAGCATTTTCCACAATTAGTAACCAGCGTTTCAATTCCCTTCCCAGTGTTTGAGGGAGCTGGGAAGGGAGGAAAATGAAATAGAGTGAACACAGTGGGAAGGTCTAATAACATGTTTACAAACTATGTAAACACCCCTTGTGCAGAATAGCCTCAACCACTGGAGTCACCAGGCAGCACCAAACCCACACTCTGACCACCTGCTCACCCTTCAGCCAGTGCTAGTGGGGACATTAAGCAATGGATGGAGCTTTTACAGGTCTCTGACATTCCATGCTTGCTCTAAATATAAGCATTCACTAAATTATCATATACGTTGTGCTTTTTGACTGGTTGCAGCTCTTTGTTTCTTCCCACCCATTTCCTACATAAACATCTGCCTGTGTTTTGTCTTTCTCCTGGTATCACCCTTTTGTTTCTTCCCAGTATTGCTGCTTGTGCTTAAAATGTGTACCTCAGTGGTGTTTCCAAACGAGTTCTGTTGGTGGATGCCTGTGGTCAGTCAGATCTTCCTGTGTCTAAACATTCATTGCCTGCAACTGAAGGCTCCATGGGTCTTCCCTTCTTGCTTGTTCAGTCGAGAGACCTGGAAACAAGGTCAGGTTTCATCATCTGGATTTTAATTCCTTGCAAACGATGAAAAACGATTGTCACAAGGATTTTTTTATTTAAAGGACTGCTCTCCAGCCCTGTGCAAAGGAGACTGAATCACCCTTACACAAATACAGAATATCCCTGGTTGTCTCAGACATGCAGTGCAGAGCCACCAACACAACATGGTTGTGCGACCGGGTATAATTATCTGCAGTAAGAATAGAATAGATTATGCTCCATTTTCTAAGCATGTTTTCCCTTGACAAGCATTTGCTTCAGGCTTTTATTTCCCACGTCCTGCTCCCGTTGCAGCTCGCTGGGGCAGCAAGCACCCCGTGCCCCACTGTGCTCGCAGAGCAGCACGGCCAAACACTGCTCAGATTCAGCAGGCTCTCCGTCCCTCAAGGAGCCTTTCCACCCAGAAGGAGCCTTTCCACCCCTCCACACCCTCAGCATCCTCACTGGGGTTGATTAGCAGGCAGAAATGCTTAGGAAAGCCAAATAAGCTTACTTGACGCAGAGAGAAATTATATAAGCAGCAGCAGGATGCAAAACTTCAGGAGAAGTCTCTTCTCTCTGGTTACTGTGTAGGATGGTAAGAGAAGACTGTATGGTTTCCTAGGCACAGCTACCCTTATTGCTATTTTAATCTGGCGCTGAGCATCTTTCCAGGGAGAACAGCTACCAGGATACACCCGCAGGCTGCAGTACTGCTCTCCTTGTGCCTGTGCTTTTCCCCAGCATATTTCTGGAATAGTGTTAACAGCTACTGGAACAGAGCCTTGGGAAAACTGCTCCAGAGATGTATCAGGCAGTGACAGAGACATTTCTGCCCTCCCTAGACAAACTCCTGACCCAGTTGTCTCTCAACGCAAGGGATCTGCTTTTGAGATCCAGTATCATGAGTTCGTGTGACCGGGTGGATTTTTATCCCTAATGATTAAGACTAAATAAATTATGTAGGTTTTGCTGTTGTTTTTTTTACATCAAGGATTTTTATCTTTATTCATTTGTCTTACACTTCTGAGATTCGACTATAAGCCAAGAGAGATGATGTAAAGTGTTCTCTTCAACTTGAGTAAGTGAGGAGAGTGATTCAGAGTAGGCTCGTGTTCTCCTGCCTTCTCATAGCCTCTAAATTGCACTTCATGTTCAAGCAATTAGTACTCTGGATCCTACAGGTGGCTTAGAGATATGGGAACGTGGAGGTCTTAGAAGAGAGATAGGATTTTCTATAGGCAGCCAAGGAATTTCAGGATTCCTTCAGGTGCTATCTGTTGAAAGGGGGAGCTGGGGCAAGTTCATCTGCTGCTGAAGCTAGCAATGGCAATGCAGAAGGCACCTCGTGAGGTCGGTGTGCAGCAAGCTGTGTGAACTCACGGCCTTTTCTTAGTGGCATTCAGGTAACTTTGAGCCTTACATTAATATCTTCAGTCATCATAGGAACTGAGCAGGAAAAAAGAAGTCGAGCAGCATGTCCAATGCTAACCGCAAAGTCAACACCAAAGCAAACTGGTGATGGTCCCAGTGCTTCACCTATTAAATACTTTAACAACAGCTCACTGTTTTCTCCTTAGGGATTTTCATAGCCATCAAATTGGTCCTTTGAAGCAGTTTCAGCGTATGCAGTGTTATTTCTCCAGACACAAACACACCTTTTGATCTGTACCCCGAGAAAGCCAGCAGGGCAAACCTTTCTTTCCAGCCTCCTGGCTTGTAGCATAAGAATACTGCAGAGAATATCAAGGTCTTAAAAGAGACATTTAAAAGCTTGGTAAATAACAAAGCATTCTTCTTTCACTCCTCCCACTTGGTTGTGGGTTCACCTGACCGTTAGCACACGGTTTGGGATAGAAGATGGTTAGCAATGTTTCAGATTTGGGCATGGCTTCTATGTGGGGCTTGCACTGCTGGTTGAAGTAGGAGCACCCTGCGTGACTTTTTGTCTCAGTGCAGAGGGCTGTCCCTCATTCCTGCTGGGGTGAGCCAGGGCAGCACAGCCCTCCATTCCCACAGTACTCTTCTGTTCTTTTGTTCAGCTGCAACCTCTCAGACCTGTTGTGTTGCCTCCTAGGGCTCTTGTATCAGGAGTATCGAGATAAATCTACGCGCCAGGAGATCGAAACCAGGCGGCTGCAGGATTCACAGACAGACCCTGAGGAGAGTTCGCCCAGTGAGGAAACCCCACCTGAGACAGAGCCTGCAAGTACCCCCGAGAGCAAAGCTGCACCACAGTTCAATTTGCTGAGGAACTCCAACTCCAGGTTCAACTTATGGCAGGACCTGCCGGAGATCCAGAGCAGCGGGATCCTCAGCATCCTCCAGCCGGATGAGATCAAGCTGCAGGAGGTAAACTGAGAAAGTGGAATGTTTCTTAACTGGGCTGCTGCCTAAAGGAGCTGGAGTGAATTAAATCAAATGATTGAGATTTAAGAACAGTAAGCTTCAGAGCAGTCGCAGACGAGCCTTGTTTTGCTAAGCGTTTTCCTATGACACACTGCTTAGCACCACTCACTTTTTTTTTGAAATTACAGGATATTATCCTGTATACTGTATTGTTGATGGACATCTATTTGGCAAAAGAGAACTTATTCTGCTTTTTTTGATTGTGCTAGGAGCCTTTTTCGAGAAAGAGAGAGCTAGCAAAGAGATTCTTGCCTTAGAGCTTTGGGTCTCCGGTGCAAATTAATCCACCAGAAACCTTAGAAGCCTTGAAGAGTTAACTGCAATCTGTTTTAAATATGATGGCATTACTGGAAAGAAAAGTGATGGAGATTTTTAAGCTTCCTGATTCTTAAATGCCGTTACTCAGAGTCTTATGCAAAACAGTAAAAAATGTTGGCAGGAATATTTGCATTTCAGCCATACATTGCATTGACATCACGGCTTGAGAGCTATATGGCGATCATTTGTAGGGCTACATCTAACAAGGAGCTGGTGAGAGCAGCTGCCCCAGTCAGAGAAACCATCAGTCACACAATTTAGAACGGGTTGCTATTTTTGATAGCATGGGGAGCATAATTGCTCTTTGTTACACGTTGCTCTGCGTTCGTAGCCAGCAGCAGAGGCAAACAAAACTTGTTTAGTGTGGTGTGTGTTGCAGTATGGACCTTCACAGGCCTGATCCTGTGAGCTCTGCTGTGCCAGGATCTCTTCTGGGGCTCTCCCCACCTTTGTGTCTGTTCTGCCCTGGCTCGTGTGGCTGAACCCAAAATGCTGAAGAACATCCCAGGGTGTGACCAGTTCCCCCTGAGCTTGCTTGGATTTGCTTAGTCAAGAATTATGAATCACTTCTGTACACACAGTCCCACCCTGGTCCTGGCCGAAGCTGTGGCTTCCCTGTTGCACTTGGAAAGACTCAGCCCTTGATCCTCAAAGGTGTGATGTGCAGGGCTGTTAGTTACACCCCCAGTGCTTAAACAGGGTAGTTCAGGCTGGCAGAACAGACTGGTGGTGTGATTGGAGTATGGCTGAAGGCAACTGAAGTGGTTTGTTGCTTTTCCATGGATATTTCCATATCAGATTTGTTCTGTTTACCTGGAAAAACACAGTTCTTGTAACTGCCAGCATTACAAACACAACCTGGCGTCCATAAAACTACAAGCTCTTCTTTCTGCTTCTAAATAGAGTCATTTACATCAGCTTAAAAGTTTGCATCAGAGATTTCAAAAGATGCCATTGCTCTGGGGTTACGTTCATCACCTATAGGTATTGTATGGAAAAATACCTGTACTGCCAGGCCCAGCACCAAATTTTCTTCTATCTCTTTAAATAACAACAGAATTAAAGCAGATGGAGATGGGACAGTGCTGCCTCATAGAAGTGCTGTGCTTTCCCCTCGTGTCACTTTATCAGGGCTGAAATTTTCTTCCTGTTTGTTCTGGATTAGCACAGTAAGAGATTACAAAACTGCTGCAAGCCAGAAAGCTGTGAAATTGGCTGAACACAGAGCAGATAGAGCGGAGAATTTGATTTTTGAGGAAAGTCAAGCACAGAAAACAACGAGTGTGGGAGAAATCACTGAGACAATTAAAGAGATTATAGTGAATTCAGCGTTGAATTCACAATACAAGAAACCAGCAAGATAACACAATACCAGGTAAAAATCAAGACATTTGTTTTTCAAGCATCAAAACAAGGACCTGGGCTGAAAGAGCAATGGATGTTTGGAAGTTCTTGTGAAAGGCTCTTTGTCATTGTCCCCATTGCTACAAATGACCCAGAAAATGGAATTTCAGGGGGGAAAAAAACACCTCCCACCCCCCAGCAGTTTCAGGAGAGAAGATTGCAGCACGGCCCATTAGCCCTGGGAGCTCAAACAGAAGTCAGGCAGTGGTGGCATCAGCCACATCAGCATTTTCATCTGAAGGCAATGTCAGGGGAATGGAACGTGAAAAGAAACAGCTGGAAGTGTCACAAAATGTGGGCGAAAATGCAGGAAAAGAGGAAAAAAACAAAGAACAAATGACAGACTGCAGGGGTCAGGGATATACAGAAACTATGTGCCACTAGAATAATTATGAGAAATGATTAAATCATTCATAGGGGAGCTTTAATTATCCAGACATCTGTTGAGCATCAAACACAGCAAAACATGAATCACCGAGGACCTTCTTTTAACTATATAGAAAATAGAGTGATGCAAAAAGTAGGACAAGCCAAAAGCACTGTGTGGGTTCTGACATGGAGGCAGTGTGGGGAAAAGGACAGGCAACACGGGTGTAGCAGAAGGAGCAAATGGCCAAATAGAGGATGTGCTCCTTGTGTTACATAGAGTGGAGGTTACAGAATATTCAGTCCCAAAGGCTTGGAAAAGGTAGCCAGGGGAAGAAGCCTGATTTAGTATCCTTCTAGCACGAGCCTTACATTGCATGTTGGTACTGCCTGTTTGTGGAGAAGCTCTAATTTACTCCTCCTTCCCACGTCAGATCTCTATCTTTCAGTATGTCCTTGTTTGACTTACTATATAGGTTATTTGTTTTGTCCTCCTCTACTTGCTGTCTGCATTGATTTTCCTACACTCATCCTTTGTGTTGTAGGAGACCCTGAGCTGGGTGGGATTGGCCATAACAGTTTACAGAGTAAAAAACAACAACAGCAAAACCAGAGTAGAATGATATTCTCCATCCCCGAGCTGAACCGTTTGTGCTGAGATGGGCTTTGCCAGATCTTTTTTTGGTGGGGATTGTGGCCGTTTTGGTGTTAGAAGGTCAGGTAGCCAGGCTCATCTGCACCTTCATGGCACAGCGTGGATTTGGATCAGAGAGCAACTGCTGTGAAAATGTTTGCTGAAGCAGAAGAAGGATTTGACCCTTTAGTGTGCAGCAGTGAGGTGCTCTCTCCGTGTAAGAGCATGTTGGACTAGGAGGCAGTCTTTCTCTTTAATTTCTATGCAAATGTCCAGGAAAGTTTTATTTCTGTTCCTTCTTTGAGCAAACTTTAGATTTCAAGCCTCTAAATTTGCTGTGAAACAGAGCTACGCTCCTGAAAGAACTCTTAGGCCTTGCTGCATGTCTAGCAGTTGGAGGAGACATGGCCCCGTGAGGACAGCCAGGTTTGAGGGCTGGTCACAGCCCATACGATGGCATCAGATTGAAACAAAATCCCTCCTAGGCTAGATCTATTAAGTAGTGGTTTACAAGAAGATCAGAGCTGTTGGGAGCAGCTATTTGCAGTCTGTGCAAAAAAACACCATTTTGTCACAGCAGAGATTTACCTTGTAGCATTGCTTACTCTTGTCTCTGGTGACTCTGACCTTTTTCTTCTTTTTTATCTTCTGTATTTCCTTCTTCCTTAGGCTTCCTGTTTCCTTTCTTAGTCTCTGCCAAAATAGAAGCAATGAAAACAATTAGTACAGCTTTTATACAACTAGTAGATTTCATGAAGTTAATGACCCAGAGGACTGATGGAACAGTTTTGGTCATGTTTCCAAGAGACAGTTTGAGACTGGACTCTAGAGGATAGCATTACATCCGTTGACATCTAGTTCAAATGTTCTCATTATTTCTGCAACTCTGAAGCCAGAAGTTCACGCTGCTTTATCTAGCAAGGGCTCAGGGCCAGCAGAGTTCAGTTATTCTGCAGAGATCTCTTCACTATATCACAGTTTAGGAGTTTGTTCCAATATGAGATACAGCAATCTGGGCTGTTTATAGTCAGCATCGGGCTACTTTGGATCTGCAGTGAAGCAGCTGCATCTCCAGAGTAACCTGAGAAACCCGTGCCTGGCAGATGCTGTAGCAAACACTTCCAGAAGCTTGCCTTGATCAGTGGAGATGATCTTTATTTCTCTGGAATCTCCTTTAAATCGGAACCCTGTGGACTGGCAAATCACCATGGATTTCAATGTTTCTTTGGTCCATCTTACACTCTGCATGTGCCCATGCAGGTCTGGTGCTCACATTGTGGTGGGCAGCAAACACACACAAATGGGCCTTTCCAGACATGCAGATGGGGGACTTTTGTAGCTGCAGGTCAAGAAGGGAGGTCAGAGATCAGAAGTGTTGTCAGAGGGCTGAAAGGCTGCAGCAGGGAGGCACACCTCGATCCTGGCCCTGGGGAGATTTTGAAGGACCTGCTTATCCCAGCTGACATCCAGTCTAGGGAATAGAAGACTCTGATTTAGATTACATGTTGGAAGGAAATTTTTTCTCTCAGAAGGTGGTGAGGCCCTGGCTCTGCTGCTCAGAGAAGTGTGGGTGCCCCATCCCTGGAGGTGCTCAGGGCCAGGCTGGATGGGGCCCTGGGCAGCCTGAGCTGGAGGAAGCAGCCAGCCTATGGCAGGGGTTGGACTGGGTGGGCTGTAAGATCCCTTCCAACCCAACCGTTCCGTGATTAAGTGACCCAGTTCTATTCTTTGTTGTGTCTTTACCTATTTCTTCTTTTCCTCTCAGTTATTAAAACAAAAAAGCTACAAGTAAGCCTGTAAGAGGTGTATTTAGGAGACTCACCCATTCGTCCATTTGTCTCATTGGGAACCTGTTCTTGAAGAAAATGAAACATCTGTGTATTCCTTAAACCCCAGCTGTTCCACAGACACCAACAAAGTGAATTCATTTCTACCTGCACCCTTTGCTCGCTCTCCTTTCTGGGGCTGCACTGGCACAACCTCCTTCCCTGATGCAGGACAGGGCCACCTGCTTAGGGCTCCATTGGACTTTCTGCTCACTGGGATTATTTCCCAGGCTGCTAACTCCACAAAGAATGGAAATGCCGATTTAGCTGACAGCAGCTCTTTGCTGTTCCTATCCTTGCAGGTCTTGCACAGCAGCAGTGTCAGGAATGTTATCCAAGTCTCTGTACCTTAGGTCCTTCTGCAATGGAGAGCAGCAACTCCAAGAAAAGACCAGAACCTGATCAACAGAAAGTTTCAAATCATTTCTTTAAAAATAAGATTTAAAAGAAAAAAAAAACAAAACAGCCACCACCAAACAACCAAATCGGCTCACAGGACACACTCCCTGCTAATTTAGAAGATACTTTTTCACATGCACAGCAAGAAAAAAATGCTGTACATACTTTCTATTCCTTTGGGCTTGCTTGGCTCTGCATTGCTCATGCAGCCCCAGAGCTGGTGGGGCTCAGGGCCCACTCCTCCTCACCAGCATGCAGCAGAGGAGCTGTGGGCACTGGGGGACTGCATTGGCAAAGCAGCTTTAAGAGGAATGAAAGAAGACTTTGCTACCAACAGGTTAACCTTTCTGTAGTGATAGCATGGCCCAGCCCCAGGATGCACCTTCATCAAGAAATGTCTGAAAGAGCTAATGATTTTCTGCTGCATCGAAGCTCATGCAAGAATCTTAAATTAATCTTACTTAAAGTAATGGATTCAGTGTTTGTGTCGATAATCACTTGCTTTATCTACCTGCACACAGCCCAGAGAGAAAGCGAAGACTGTCCCTGTGGCACGATTATAGGCAGAAGGCTTTACATCCTCAGCTCATGAACTTCAGATTTATCTCTAAATCAAACCATCCATGTCTCTTTCTGCTTCCCCAGACCACATCCCTGGCCTGAGGAAGGCAAGTTGCTTGCCAAAGACTTCTCCCTTCACAGGAAAAGCAAGTTCTGAAATTCGGAGATTGTTTATAGCTTACAGTAATCATTAGGAGCTTCTGTGTCAGAAACAGTGCAGCCAGGCTTGATCATGCAGCCTCCCTTGTGCAGCAACAGCTGGATTTCCTTAGGTTTGGGCAGCACGCAGGGCCTTGGAGTACCACAGCTGTATTTTTGTATTAGCCCTGCCCCAAGGAGTGTGTGTGGTGTGCTGGGTTTGCCCTGTGCCAATCCCCACACCATGGTTTTTCTGAAACGAGCACTGATGGTGCAATGAAGCCTTGCTGCACAGCACAACGAGCCCCAGCGAGCAGAGCTACAAGCTGGTGCTGTCACAAGGAGGGTGTGTGAGGGCTGCCTAAGGGAGCTGCCCAAAGGGGAGAGGGATGTGCTGCATGGTGACGAGGGGCATAGGGGCACCTGAGGCAGCCTCAGGTCAGACCCAGTGGCACTGGGGAGGTGGGGAGAGCCTATGAAGTGCTTCTATGTGAGCATGAGCAGTAGAACAGACCTGCTGATGTCCTTTTCTGGGTTCCTCCCCAGGCAATGTTTGAGCTGGTTACTTCCGAAGCCTCGTACTGCAAGAGTCTGAATCTACTGGTGTCTCATTTCATGGAGAATGAGCGTCTAAAAAAGATCTTACATCAGTCTGAGGCACACATCCTCTTCTCCAACGTCCTGGATGTCAAGGCTGTTAGTGAGCGGTAAGACAACTGCTGCTGGGGTTTTGGCAGTTGAGTGGCATCTCGTTAACTGAGCTTGTGCAGAGGATGCAAGAGCTGACTGCAAGCAGTCTGCTACCCAGTCTTTTCCAAAAGCTTAGTGACACATTCACTGCTTTCAGCCCCAGGGGCAGAAGCTGGGCATTGTGTTGGACATGCAGGCGATAATTAAACTGAGTGCTGGTTTTCTCATCTAGATTCCTGCTGGACCTGGAGCGGCGGGTTGAGGAGAACATTGTGATCTCGGATGTGTGCGATATTGTGTACCAGCATACAGTTGATCACTTCTCTGTGTACATCACCTATGTCTCCAACCAGACCTACCAGGAGAGAACTTACAAGCAGCTTCTGTGAGTTCCCGTGCTTGATGCTGTATTAAAATTGCATAGGCGATAGATTCAGCTGTTGGATGTTGCTAATTGGGACAGTGCTAAATGGTACAGAAACAGGATTTCTCACTTCACTAATGCAATTAAAAGGCTTTAGAGTAAGGGTAAGGGTGGGGTGACAGAGTAGGCAAGTAACATACCAAGTGAGTTCAGAGCCAGCAGTTCCCAGCTGTGGGAAGTAGCTATGATGGATGTGGGAACACGCACTTGTGAAACATACACATTCTTAAACTGCAAGTAGAGGCAAGAGACTGAAAGGCCGAGGTTACAACGCAGCTCCTTGATGACAAGAACAGCCACTGCTTTTCCTAAGCTTCCCAACGAGGCTGAACCTTCCCACACTTGGGAAAACTTATCAGAAGAACAACATTTTCTTGAAGGAAAGAAAAAAAAAAAAGCCATTTTCATCACATTCCGGTATTATAAATACAGGCGCTATCTAGGCCTGAGGAGAGAATCCAGCATATTTTTGCAGTGTTTTTCAAGTTCAGTCAGGCTTCTGGTCTTGGAGGAATTCTCTTCTATCGTCTCAAAACAAAGACTGCCCTACAAGCCTGTCTTTGAGCAGGAGAATTAATTTCTCTTCAGTTACCATGTCCTGGATCCTTTCAGGACAGCCCATTGCATGCACTGCACTGTTTCCTCCCCGTAGCAGCAGCTGGTTTGGGGGGGAGTGTAATGAGCCCTAATCCTTTCCTTTCTCTGCTCTCCAGCTTTTGAGGCAAAAAAACCCAACAAATAAACCCAACACACTCTAAGCAACCTCTGCTGAGCTTGGCCAACTGTTCTTCCCAAAAGAAGGGTACTGCAGGGTTTCCTTGAGTCAGAGGTGAGCAGTATAAACGCCGTGTCTGGGGTCATTAGCTAAACACTTGGAATTGAAAGAGACATAATCTGGATTAGGTGAGCTTGAAAAGCAGCTGTGGGAGATAGGAATTTAGAGGGAAGCTTTTTCTTAATTTTTTTTTTTTTTTGTCTGAGGGAGAGCACAAAGTAAAGGGAATTTTGCAGCACTCTGGTGAACATGGAGCCTGAGATGTTCCACAGTTGCTCCCACTTTGGACACACTCAGATCCATTCTGTTGTGGCAGTGACACGGTGATACAGGCACCTGCTGCAGCTCTGAGATGCACTTACAGTGAGTGCTGTCACAGTGCTCTGAGTTACGTGGAGTGAAGATAGGTTTTGCACAGTTAATGATGTCTTTGCATCCGTGCTGATCTTGCCAGCTGTGGCTCCAGCTGTGTGTGTCCTCCCTGGGCCGGGCCCAGAATTGCCAGGAGGTGCTGGCTTTTGGCTGCAGCTGCTGAGGCTGCTTGGACTCACCTACTGTGCTCCCCTCAGGGAAGGTCCAGGGATGGCGTGTGCTCTTCTCAGGCCAGATAATGATTTCCATCCTCCAGCTCAGCAACCAGGAGTAGCCAAGTTCTGTGACTTGCCTTATTCTTATGACTGTGTGAATTCCACCTTGTCACAGAGATCCAACTGTGTAGAGATATATAATTATTCCTCTGACTCACTACTTGGACACACACCCCATTCACACACACCTACGCACGCAGTGCAGCGTATGCTGCTGAGCTAGATGTGCTACACATGTGAACGCACTACCATGGCTTCTACATTAAAAGTCTATTTTTTCCATCCCCCAACGCTATAAATAGTTCTGGATTTAAACCAAAATACACCTAGAAGCATTCCGTTTCCTCCTTCCTTCTTTTCTGCTCTCGGGAGAAGTTAGGCAGATGCTGTCTCTGGGGTCCGTGCTGCTGGGTCCTCACCCACACAGCAGAGGTGCAGGCAGGGCAGCACTCACGCTGTCTCTCTCCCCCTCAGCCAGGACAAGCCAGCCTTCCGGGAGGTGATCACACAGCTGGAGCTGGATCCCATGTGCAGAGGTTTATCCTTTTCTTCCTTCCTGATTCTGCCATTTCAAAGGATCACTCGGCTCAAGCTTCTGGTGCAGGTAGAGTTTTGCTCTTCTGTATTGCCCAGAGGTCGCCCGCATCACTCCAGGGATTCTATTCAACAGTTGCAAATGAGATACAGCCACAATTAATCCTAGAGCTGGCTGAAGCCTTTCCACAGAATTGAATATTCTCAGCTGTGGAAAAGCGTTCAGTCAGTGAGAGAAAACTTCCAAATTCACACTGAACTTGCCATGTTTTGCTGAACAAAAGAGTTGAGGAGAAACTTCAGAAGGGGCAGCAGCCATACTGTAACCAGCTGCCTGATTGTTAAGATGCTGCTGTACAGTCTCAGAATAAAACCACCCCGAAGCCATGTACTACGCCACATCATGGTGTCTGGGGCCAGCATGTGGCAGCCACCTTCCCCTTTGCACCTCTAATCACTGCACTGAAGGACATGCATCTACGGGAGGAGGAAACAGCTCCATCCCAAAAAGTCTTATACCTCTTGGCTTGCCAGTAGCACTGTCTGTTAGCAGCAGGTCCAGCTATTTCACTTTTATAAAACAGTAGCATTACTTTTCAGATATTCAGTTGTAGCCAGATGAAACAGGCTTTAACAAAAAACAGAAACTCAGAAGTAAGAGTATCTGTGCTCTGTCATCCTCCCTGCAATTAGCCTGATGGACAGAAGTAACCCCAAGGAGAGCAAAGACCCTTCTGTGCTGTCACACTGGGATCAGAGTTAACACAGCTTTTGCTCCTCTGCAGAATATTTTGAAGAAAGTGGAAGAGAAATCAGAGAGGGAAACCACTGCTCTGGAAGCGCATAAGGAGCTGGAAACAGTAAGTTTGAATGAGCCTATCTGAAGGCCATTGAGATTAAATCACTGTCAGTTTCACCCCAAAAAAGACATACAGACTGCGTTCACTCCTGAAGTTGTCCCTTTGATTCCCACCTTTGGACTTAATGTTTGAGAGGTGGGGGGTTGCAGGCAGCTGTGTGGACGAAGCAGGCTGCTGCAGGGACTGAGGAGTTGAATCCTCTTCTCTTCCTGGCCTTCAAGAGCTTGGAGTTCTCTCTTGAATCCCGCAGTTCACTTTAAGTATTTCAAGCTGGAAATTGCATTAAAACATCCGCCTGAGGATCCAGCTGCAGCTTATGACTGAGATATTAAAATAAACTAGGCTATTGGACTTGCTCTAACCTATCCCAGGAAATGTTCTCTCTGCAGATCACTGAGGATAAAAACAGAGGCCGTAACAATGATGATTAGTGTGCAGTACTTTATATTTCCAGAATCCTTCCTTGCTTCTGGCAGCCTGTTGTTGTCCGCTGGTTCAGAGCTCAAGGAAGGCCGTTGCTGTGGGTTGCTGGTGGAAAAATGCTCTTTTTGTATTTATCTGTCAGAGACCCATCATCACTTTCATAACTGTCTTTACATAGTTGTCTGTAGACATTTAAGTTTAGATGCTGGCATCACAGCAGTGGCCGTTTGATGCCTATTTTTCCCATAATTATCTTCCTGGATGGGCAGAAGCAGATCTTGGTTTCAGTTGCTGATACTCTGGTGAATTTTCAGTAAAAGAAGCAGTGCACGAAGCAGTGCCTGTTCTCCGACATAATTTTTCTACCTAACACGTTCTCAAGAGAGCAGTTCCTTATGAAACAGGCAGTGACATCTAGGTTACAGTTCCTGTAACAGGGCAGTGCCTGCGTGTTGTATTTGGGGTTTTTTTCCTGTCACAAACATCTCTCCCTGAGACATCCCATAGATTGGGCAACTGGTGCTGCTTGGCAGAACCACAGCACTTCCATCTTTGAAATGAGGATCTTCGGATTTGTTCTCCTCTTGAAGATCATACTGTGTGTGTTCCTCTGTTTTCAAGCATTGGGAATGGGGAGGAGGAGATGTTTGGTGTGTCAGGATCTGATAAACAAACTGTTCCCTTTCTTGCACAGCCAGGAGTGCTGCTTAATGTTGTCTTGTCTGGTACCTGAATGCGGCCATCTGACAACTCAGCCTCCAGCTGCAGCATCTTCTGGGTGCTGCTTTTTTGGGTTTGGTTGTTTATTTTCCGCTTTCCCATGTGGACACATTGCTGATGAAAGAGCCTGGCTTGGTCAGTTCCTGTTGTAGCTCTTCCCCTCAGGGTCAGGCCTTTCTGTGCTTGACATCACTTAGCTGCTTAGGCCACTGAAAGCAAACCTTTCTCTTCTCTTTTTGCCAGGTGGTGAAAGCATGCAATGAAGGAGTCAGGAAGATGAGCCGAACAGAGCAGATGATCAGCATCCAGAAGAAACTGGAATTTAAGATCAAGGTATGAGCACGGGTTGGTAGCACCCCCACAGAGGCAGTGAACCAACAGCATCCTGGCACTGCACGTGCATATTCAGTAGTAACAGCTCAGCCACATCCCTTTCGGTGCCATTTAGCTGTGGCAGTGCCCTGCTGCCCGCGCTGTCCTGCTGCTACTTTTGAAGGAGATGCACTGCTGCAGGCACTGCATTTGCAGTTGGATGCGTATGATCTCAGGCACAGAGCCAGAGTGCTGTGCCCACACAGGGGTGATGTGCTGGCATCAGCCTGCCCGTGTGCCATGGGCAGCTCCTGCTCCAGCACTCCGCCTGGCTCTCACCTCACTTCAAAATGTAGGTCACCTTTCAGCTATTGTTTTACATTATAAATGATATTACAGGGAGATTAAAGCTAAAAAGCAAAACACTTCAAAGCTGGAAAATACCAAAATGAAGGCTATCTCACAATTTGTAATTCATCCTTGTGTTTATCCATTAAGTACAGGCTCTAATTACCTGCTGATGATCTGTTCTGGGTCCACTTAGATCACAGTCTGCAGGATGGCACTGGGCTGCAGTAGACACGAGGCTGCCTTCATCTCTCCCCAGCTGCAGCAGTGACGCCAGGCAGGGCCAACTCAGCTGTGGGGCAGGCTGTCCTGGGCACTGACATGGGGTATAAGCAGTGCAAGGGCACAGGAAGAAAGGCTGCACTGCAGCATGTGTGGTGAGCACAGAGAAGAAGTGAAGGTGGAAGGGATATTTCCAGTATTTCAATTGTTTAACCAAAACCATACTGTTCTTCTAATATAAGACATGCTTTGTTCTGGGGTTCTTGAGATAACCACACAGTGGTTTGGGTTAGAAGGGACAGAATCACAGAATCACAGAATCACCCGGGTTGGAAGGGATCTCAAGGATCATGTAGTTCCAACCCCCCTGCCTAGCAGGGCCACCAAAACCCGGGACCTTACAGCCCACCCAGCCCCAGCCCTGGCCATGGGCTGGCTGCCCCCCACCAGCTCAGGCTGCTCAAGGCTCCATCCAGCCTGGCTCTGAGCACCTCCAGGGATGGGGCAGCCACACTTCTCTGGGCAGCAGTGCCAGGGCCTCACTGCCCTGGTGTGTGGTAAAGCTCTAACAGAAGTGCCGTTGTTGCTGCTTGAGCAACCCAACCAGTGAGAACTCATTTAGCATGTTTTCTTTTAGCCAAAAAGCCAACTGTTTTTAAAGACAGCCTCTCTGTCCAGGAAGGTTCAGCCCAGGTGATGAGACATCAGATGGGCCAGAGACAGGATCGGGTTTGCAGGGCGTAGCCTGGTGTTTGAATCCAGCACTTGGCACTCCAGCACCACTGTCCTCAACTGTTTGCTTGTTGGGCCCCTGCTGTGTCTCCACCATAGCAGTGACACCCTGTGCTGGGCCGTGGGCTGGGTGGCAGAGCACGCTGCACCCTGTGTAGCTCTCCATCCTCTGCAGTGCGAGTCATTCTGATGGAAACTCACTTCCTTCTGCATCTCCCACTGCTTTCAGCACCTTAACCACTTGAGTCCAAGTTGCTCTTCTGATCTCGGCTGTCTTTGTCTCGCTCCCAGTCTGTGCCCATCATCTCTCACTCCCGCTGGCTGCTGAAGCAGGGGGAACTGCAGCAAATGAACGGCCCAAAGACATCGCGGACGCTGCGCACCAAGAAACTCTTCAGAGAAATCTACCTGTTCCTTTTCAACGATCTGCTGGTCATCTGCCGGCAAATTCCAGGGTGAGTGCAGAATTCAGGTAGCGCGTGGGCACTCTGAGTTCTTTGTAAGCACCGGCGGTGAGCCCTGCCTGCTTGGGAGCAGCACTGCTCTCTCCAGATGAAGCCTCACGGCAAGCAGGGCTCACACATGTCTCCCAGCAGGGTAAGCAAATGTGTATTGGCCAGTTCCTGTGGGGTGGCAGTGAGTTCCAGCAGCTGGTGGGGCTGATCCAGGAGGCCTGCCTTTCTGCCAGGGAGTGAGCTTTGACTCATCACCGCCGAAGGAACAGCTCACATTTAGTCACTTACATTTCTAAGAAAAGAGTCCAGAAAATATGAGCAGCAGGGAGGGGCGTCAGTTGATGCCTGCAGCTAGCAGTTATGTTTGACATGATGTAACCTGCCTCAGGAATGTTGTGGTGCTTAAGACTGCGTTTTGTGCAGCTAGAGACTAGTGAATACAGCAGCACAAACAGGGCCCAGAGAACAGCACGTTCTTTGTGGCATTAACTGCACTCACCAGCAGGGAGCATCTCGGCAGTCCTGTTTCTTATCAACGTGTCGCTGCAGTGTCTGCATGCCTGGAAACGTTTTGCTTCTGCGGCAGCTTGTATCCAAAAAACATGGAGGTGCTTGACAAATAGGAATGAATTGAGCCTCACAGACCCCTTTGAAGGAGCACAGTGCACGGGTCACATAGACAGAGCAAACGACTTGTTTTAGGCCACGTGGGACAACGGAAGCTGAGCAAGGAGAGGATCTCTTGCCTTGCGGTGGGGTTTCATAGCCGTTGCTCATCCCTTTTCCTCCCGCCATACGGAGGTGCTCGGTCTGTCCCCAGGTACACATCTGAGTGGATGAAGCCACACTGTCTTGCCGTGCTTGCAGTTTTTCCTTATCTCCTCTTTAACCTCTCCCAGAGACAAGTACCAAGTGTTTGACTCAGCGCCCCGGGGGCTTCTTCGGGTGGAGGAGTTAGAAGACCAGGGGCAGAGTTTGGCCAATGTCTTCATCTTGAGGCTGCTGGAGAATGCTGATGACCGGGAGGCCAGTTACATGCTGAAGGCATCGTCGCAGTGAGTACCGTGCCAGCACTGCACCGGGCTCAGCGCCGCGCGCTCCTGCACCTCCACAAAGACAGCGGCCTGTCTGCATGGGGAGCAGCTCCTACAGCTCACCAGGACCAGGCAGGCAGGGATGCCGCTGCTGCAGCTGGCCTTAGACCTTCATAGCTGGCCCTGCACATCACGCCTGTGAGGCTGCCTTCAGTCTCTCTTACTTGAAGGAATGAGTGAAGCTGGCTCGCTCACTGGGGTGGGAGCCGTGCCTGACCAGCTGTGAAGCAGAGTGGCTGCCGGTTGTAGGTGAGGGTGTGAGAAGAGGGTTCTTCCTCAGCCCCATCCACAGCCGATCCCAGTCTTGCAGCAGCCCCTCTGCTTTTCCAGGCCTCCTCGTCTCCCCACATACAGTATTCTCAGCTTGCAAACTTTTTGCTTCAAGCTCCAGCAATACTGGGCAAATGATTCAGCTGTACAGGCATGATTGTTTTGGAATTCAGGGCCTGACTTTCTCATTGACCCGAGTCTTAGCAGGCTCACAGTTTTCTAGGCACAGCTCTATGCAATTAGAGGTGTTATATAAGTATACATGCACCACCAGTTTCACAGCTACTGCAGGTCACACACCTTCAGATTGATGTTACTTTGCTGTTTGACAGCTCTTGACATCTTGGGCAGAGAGCAGCCCCACCACACAATCCTGCAGGCCCGGGGGTGCAGCTGATCCCCTTGGCACAATGCAACACCAGGATGAGGGAGATGAGCCCCCAGCATAGCGAGCAGCTGCACCTTCCTCCCAGGCATGTGACTGCAGCTTTGCTGTACTGAAAATAGAGATGTCAGTCACATTATGCAGGGCACACGCACATTTGACGTCTGTGAGACTGAGCTGTGCAGAGGATGATAAATCAGGCCAGGGTTGCCTTTGCTCAGGGAGGTGTTTGCATTTATGTGCTTCTGCAACCTGCTCCGTCTCTAGGATGACCACAGGGAGTGTGAGAACCAGCACACAGCTTGCCTACAGCTCTGGTGTACAGAGAAGCGATGCAGGACTGCTACAAGCTGCTGTTTTAGAGCTGCAGGAGAGATCTGGCCAGTATGAGGCACAAACCAGAAAACTGAACAAACAAAGAAGAGGGAAGTAGGTTCCAAAGAGACACTGATGGATCTGTTTTGCAGATCTCGCAGTGTTTCCCTGCTCTGAACCCACACAGCAATGACAGCCTGTTCAGTGGCAGCTTGCAGCTAGAGCCCTGGCTGGGCTTTGCTGTCACCAGGAGCTGTCCTCATGTCTGGGCACAGCTAGTTGCAGGGGTAGGATGAGGGCACAGGTGGGCCCCTCACAAGGCTATGAGAAGCCAGGTGCTGCAAGGAGAATCCAAAGAGCCCTGCAAGGAGCTGCGTGCAAGGCTGCAGGGTCAGCCTGCAGCATCAGGAGCTCAGGAATGGGGGGAGAGGTGGTGTCTCCAGGACTTTCTCCTGCTCATGGCCTCCAATTCTCCCCCTTGTCCAGGAGCGAGATGAAGCGTTGGATGATTTCACTGGCCCCAAACCGGCGAACCAAGTTTGTTTCATTTACATCCAGACTTTCTGGTAAGATTCACTGTGTGGTGTCCAGGAGCTTTTCACCCCCACTCAGCGTCCCTTCTGTGCTGATCTCCCCATCCAGCCCTAGGCTGGAGCCCTCTGGAAGCCAGCCTCTGTCTGGGCTTCCCTTACATTTTCACCCACTTGTCTCCAGGCCTGGCTCTGACTTTGTTCCCTTGCAGCCCAGGGTGGGCTGCACCAGCACTCTCCACCCCTCTGTGCTGCTCAGTGGAGCAGCAGTGCAGGGACTTGTGCAGGACCAGCTCCCTTCCCTGCAGCACTCCTCCCCATTGCGCCTTCCCTCACCCCATGGCCTCAGTGATGTTTCTCACCGAATCAGAGGAAACATTCTCAGAGCTCACAGAGTTACACCTACCTGAGCTGCTTCTGCCTCAGTCCATCCCTCACTCTCACCCTGTCCCCCTGCAGATTGCCCGCAGATCCAGTGTGTCCACCCCTACGTGGCCCAGCAGCCAGATGAGCTGTCCTTGGAGCTGGCTGACGTCCTCAACATCCTGGACAAGACAGATGACGGTACGGGGGGTGGGACAGGAGCTGTGGAAGGGTGGGCTTCTCCCTGGGCAGGCAGCTGCTGAGCAGCCAGGAAGGGTCCTTTGGCCACAGAGAGAGAAGGCAGTGTCAGCGTTGCAGCTGAGAAAGCTGGCAGCAGAGCAGGGTGTGACTGCCTCCTCCTAATGCTCTGCAAATCCAGGCTGCCCTGCGTGCAGGGCAGGGCTGATGCAGCCACCAGTGTGTAACCCAGAGTTGTTCTTACCCTGAGCAGCCAACTTCCAGAAGGCATCACCAGCTCTGCAGGCTCTTTCACAGCAGCTGTCCCAGGGTGGGAGCAACGGTCTGTCCTTCCCCACTGACCCCTGTCTCTGTCTCTGCTTAGGCTGGATATTTGGGGAGCGGCTTCACGACCAGGAGAGGGGCTGGTTCCCCAGTTCTATCGGGGAGGAGATCCTGAACCCCAAAATCCGTGCCCAGAACTTGAAGGAATGTTTCCGGGTGCACAAGTCAGATGACAGCCAGCGGAGGAAACTGGGCAGCAGGAGCCGCCAATGACTGCTGGCATCCCCGAGCGTGGGGAGCAGCCTGGGAGAGGAGCAGAGGACAGAGGCTGCCAGCTGGGGGGACACGGTGGCGGTGCTGGGGGCCGTGGCACGGGACCTGGTGTGCCACACCAAGCATGTCCACCCTTGAACGCATGGACCTCAGTTCCCAGGCGGCCTGCTGTGCTTTCTACAGTGCTGAGCCCTCCTTGGAAAGCAGTGCTTCGAGCTGGCTGAAATCATCCCTTTCCAAAGAGTGTGAGCCCAAACTGGCACCACATGAAGGCCCTGGGTGCCAACCAAGGGAACCTGGGGCAGCAAATGGAACTCAGCAATTAGCATCGTCCACTCGCACCTCATTGCTACCATTTGAGTTCGGGGCTCTCTTAAAGCCGCACCTCATAGGGATGGGAATTCCGGTGGAGGAATCGTCTCACATCGCTTCACACAGCCCTCTGGCACCAGGCTTGGGAGAAGCCCCCAGGACTCCATTTCCCCAATGAAGTTGATGAAGGCATCTCCTGGGTAGACCCTCGACCTGCTCCCCAACGCTCTGATGTGCTCTGAAAGCCCTGCTCTACCAGCAGCCTCACCTCAGAGGCCCCAACCTCCGTTCCTGCTCACCTGAAGGCCTCAAAGTGCATCTGGGCCCTGCCTCATGGCTCATCCCCTCCCTCAGCTGCTGCAGAGGCATGGCACCATGGCTTTCCCAGGCTGATCCGGTGCTTTTGGGAAGACAGGCTGCTCATGGTCTCTGCTGCACCTACCGCGGCGTGCTGCAGGGCTCCAGGAGTGCCAGCGGGCAAGCAGCATGCAGTGAATGACAGCACCCCTGGAGCTGCTGTGCTGCACGGTAGAAGGCTCAGCAACACGCCTGCATGCTCGTAACCCACACCTCCAGCTGCGTGCAGCCTCCCTGTACAGTTCATGTAAATACGCAGTCCTCTGCTGCAAGCAGAGCCAGACCATCACTTGCTCCAGTTGTGGCACTGAGCATCGCATGAAGCCCAGGGCACAGCGCCCCAAACAGCCCCACATGTGACCACAGCAGAGAGCACTGGGCGTACAGCTTGGGCTGTGCTGCTCCTGAGCTGCAGCCACCACCCGTTATGGAATCAGGATTATTGGGCATTTCTGTAACGCAGCAAGGAGTCTTCCAGGCACTGCCGTGTGCTGCAGTGGTGTGCGGGCTGTATTCCAGAAGGGGACACAGATCAGTGTGGGGTCCTGGTTATGTGAGAGCTGTGCAGTGAGCCCAGGATGCAGCTGGGGGAAGCTGCTGTAACAAAAGGAGCACAGAAGGGGGTCCGCCCTTGGGCCAGCTCCATGCCACCACACACACAGGGCCCCAGGGAGGGCTGGGACAGGTCTACAGCCTCCAGCTTGATGCAGTGGGCTCACCTGATGGGGATGCCCCAAGTCAGGCCCCCAGAAGAGCACACCACAAGCACTGTCTGAGCACAATCAGACCTCCGGGTCCAGGTTCAGACCTGGCAGCAGCTGCAAGATCTCCCACGCGAACCCCAGAGGAGCTCCAGCCTCAGGCAGCCCTCTGAGTTACCCACTGAACTGAGTACATCACAGCCCATCCAGTTTAGCAGAGCCACAGCCAGCACAGCCCTGTGCTGAAGCCCCACAGGGGCTGCTTAACAGTACAGAAGTGCTCCCTCACCCACCAGAAGCAGCTGTTCACCAGTGGAGGGGCCCAGATTCCCCACTATCAGGATACCAGCACCTGGCTGTGTTGCCTGTGGGAAGGAGAGGGGCCTATGGCTGCCCACGCGCTGTCCCCTCACACCCTGGACTCGCTCCAGCTCTGTTGTGACTTCTGATGACTTCAAACCTTAAGCACAGGCTGTGCCATTTCCAGGCACCAAGTGGCATCCAGTGTTATTTCCTCAGACCCGGCCATGCATGCCTTTTCATGGGTGTGCAGCTGCAGCTCCCACAGCCTCTGCCAGGCTGCTGCAGGGCACTGAGGGGAACTTCTCGTCGTCTCGTTTTCTGTGTGATGAAATACAGCTGAGTGAGCCAGCGCCACAGCAGCGTGCCAGCATCTCCTTCCTCCCTGTCAGCGCCGCAGGTCCCCGCCACAGTGCAACCACTGAGGGGAATGGAAGCGCAGGCGAGGGGTGGAAGAAGGGAGGGATGAGAACATGGGCCGGGTGATACATGGGGAGAGTTGGGATGATTTACAACACCTGAGCAACCCTTTCCCACCAAGGGATGCTGTGCAAAGCGATCCCCAGCACCATTACCTCTGTAGCCCACCCAGCTGTGGGCTGATACCGCTGCCGTGGAGCTGCCAGGGGCTCAGTGCTCCCAGCAGAGCTGCACACGAGGAGCAAAGTCAGTGCAGCAGATGGGGAGCAGACAGAGGAGTGTTGTGGTACAGAAATCTTTTATTGAGTTCAGGAGGCAGAGAACTTTCTCAGCGTGATGACAACCAAGGCCACGAGCACAGATGTACCCAGGAGGGAGGCGATGACAATGGCACCGATAGCTCCGGGCCCCAGCGAGCCTGCAGGGACAGAAATCACAGTGGGGTGAGGCTGAGGGGTCCTGAGGGGAAGGGCAGTGGAGTTCACCCCTTTTGCCCTGTGCACCGTGGCCCCCAGGACACCCTCCTGTCATCTTCCCCCCCAAAGTGTCCCAGTACTTGTGCCCCCTTACAGCTGCAGTGTGGCCCCATCCTTGGGCTCCTGCCTGGCCCCCAGTCCCAAGCCAGCCGCCAGGGACGTGGAAGCCAGCACAAATGGGATGCTCAGCACTCTGCTTTCCTGTTACATCCACTCCCAGAGCATGCTTGTTGTGCAGCAGCGGGCTGCTGTAGTTGAGGTGCCAGTGGAGTTGCTGACACCCTGTTTTCAAGGGCAGAATTTCAGGCACACTCCTGCCCGGGCTCAGGTGTTTGCAGCAGTGCCAAGCGCAGACACGGGGCAGGAGGAGGTCATGGCAGTTGCTCTGGGGCTGGTGGGCATTGCACAGCAAGACCTGTCCGCAGGGAGACGGCCCTGAGCAGGCAGTGCCTCCCAACAGCAGTATGGAGGAGGGTGCAGGCCACCTCCAGCCCCCTGCCAGGAGATGACAGCCCAGAAAGAACAAACGCACAGCGAGCATTTCCCGAACGGCAGCCCCGTACCGTCCCCAGCATCGAGCCGGTGCAGGTGGGTGGTGTCCTCGGGCTCCAGCTCGGAGGTGTACGGGGCAAAGGCGGTGGCATCGGAGAGCCGTGCGGTGGTGGTGGCATCGAAGGGGCCGGATCCGGAGGGCAGCTCGGCCGGCTCGTTCCACAGCGTGGGCAGCGGGCCCCGTGGGTGCTCTGCTGGGAGAGGAACCGCCGCGGTCACGGCTGTGTGCGGGTGGCTCGGGTCGGGCGTGCAGAGGATGCGCAGCACACAGACCCCGCTGGGAGCCCCAGCTCCCCCTGCACCCCCACACCGCGCCGGGAGATGAAAGCGGCACCGCGCTCTGATGCTGCCCTTCGCATCCTGTTATTCCTTCCCCCCCTGGGGTTGGGGAACGCGCCACAGCCCTCCCTGTTTGCGTGTGGCTGAGCGCAGCGCCGCCATCAATGCCCGGCTTGTTGAGGTGGGCCCTGGCGGCGGCAGGAGACATTCCACCGCTCCCTGTGAAACCGCTGGGAATGTCACACCGCGACGGGGAGAGACGGGAAAGAACGAGCAGCGTCCAACGCCGGGACAACTGAACCGAGACGGCGGTTCTCCGCGCCGGGAAGGGAAGGACAGAAGAGTCAGAGCCGACGGCGTGGGACGAGGCACAGAGCTGCCGTGCGCCGGAGGGACGGGGTCAGCCGGCAGCAGCACAGCGAGCCCTGCGAGGCTGCCCAGAGCCCCTGTGGGGCTGCCTCTGCAGGAGGGGCGAGCACCGGAGGATCAGCTCCAGGCACTGCACTACGCTCGGCAGCAGCACCTCACGTTCCAGCAAGCACCAAGGAGCAGCTCTGACCTTCCTCAGAGCCGCCTGCAGAACCAGAGCGCTGCTCTGGGGTAGATCAGGAAAGACCTTTCTGTGCCCAAGGACACGACAAGACTTTCACTGAGCTCCCAGCTTAGCTCTGGCCCCACAGCAGCCCAGCAACCTCAGGCTGAGCTCTGCAATTCCCACAGTGACCCACCCGGGGCAGCACTGTGGAGCGGCAGCAACGCTGCATCTTCACACACTCAGCCCATCTATGATCCCCACGTCAGAGGCAGCATCCTGGGTTCCCTACAAGATTTCTGTGCCCCACAGTGGCTCCCCAGAAACACCGATACCCTCAGCAGGGCCTCTCCCACCCCATCCTGCAGGGCTGGAGATGTGCATCCCTTCCACAGAGTACCACGTCCCAGAGATCTCTTCTGTAGCCCCTGTAGGCACAGGTTGCTTCTGGAGAAATCACAGCAGCTCTCAGAGCAGGGCACAGGACTTCTTTCTGACAGCCAAGGAAGGAGGAAGCAATCTAATTTATTATTTTTTTTTTAAATGATCTTGGTGAGTTTTAAGACCTGGACAGAGGTCTTGAAACTTGAAAGCCAAGTATAAATGGCAAAGTAGCATCTGCTGCTTCTGTTCACAAAATGAAGTTGTAGAAATAAAGAGCTACTGAGCTACACTCAAACACATTGTCCATCACAAGGGCAAGGTGTGCAACACCTGAGTTATGTGCCAGCCTCAGGGTCAGAGCCAGCTGTAAGGAAACCCACCCTCAGCACCTGTAGGGTTGCTTTGCCCCAGGGCAGCTCAGCAGGAGGGCACACAGTGGGTATGAGTGGGTGCCCCTGCGCTGCCTGCTGCCCTGCGGGATCTCACCCAGCAGTAACTGCCCTCAACACCGCAGTACTGACACTCCACAGAACACCCAAACACACTTGGAAGCACTTCAGGGAAAGACATGGAACAATCTGAATTATTGGGGTTTTACGGCACAGAGGTGGAACACAGAGAAAAACAGACTAGGAGTAACCCAGTGTTGGCCAGCAGGCCAATTGGATGGCACCTCTTCTTTCTCCCCTACTGCACTGCATACCCATCCTCTCTGCAATAGTTGCTATGGCTGAGGCCAGAAAAACAAAGATAGTGGTTACTACACTACAAAGAAATAACAGAACGGGTTTGCTGATCAATACAGAGACCCATTGAGATAACAGCTACATGGACTGTGGGGGGATCCAGAGGCACCAAAGGCGACACAAAGCAGCTGTGTGCCACCCTTGGTGAGCCTGCACAGCAATGAGGTTCCTGCACCCCAGGTACTGGATAGCTGAAAGGTAAGGCTGGGAAAACCTTCACAAGGAGGAACAAATCTGAAGGGCCCTCAGGGTTGGACCACGCGCCGTCCAACACCAGTGAGCACCACTTCCCACACAGGCTGACTTCAAGACCTCGTTACCCCCAAGGTCTGTCAACAGATGACAGTAAGATGTTCCCCCTCCACAGGGTGATGCCTGCAGGGACAGAAAAGCACGTGCTCCAGGAGGACAGCTGCTCGTGTGCCTGACAAGAGGCGGTGCACCTGCTGTACCCTGAGTGTCGCACAGCCGTCCATCACTCACAGCCACTCACAGGTTGACTTGATGCCAAATTCCACAGCTCACATCCTTTCAGAACCCCGGGGCTTTTCTTCTCTGCTGCAGATGTTTGCACCTTTTTACACTGGTTACAAGGAGGTGACCTGCTGCCTTCTGGTGTAACTCTCCACCTCCAGCCCAGTAACTTCGTCCAGGAGATGACAAGTGTCAGTAATTTGCAAGGAGCATCTGTGCTGAGCCAGTTGTCTACAAAGAGCTGCATCCAGCCTGGACAGATCTGCTGGAATGACTGCAGCTTTAAGAAGTTTACAAACTATTTACTTCTCACATCCTAGTGCTCAAACTTCAAGAGCTTCCTAATAACCCTCTCACTGTATTACCCTTGAGAACAAAATCAGAAAAGAGTCCTCGGATGAGGCCTTCTCCCATTCTTTTCCCCTTTAGCATAATGAGAGTCATCTCCTGCTCTGTCTCTTTCCTCCCCAGACCACCCCGCTACAGTGTAATGTATTTCCATGCAAGCTCAAAACAAAAATCCAGGAGCCCACATCAGCATTCAGACACAAAACACACTACTCAAAGCAAGGCCTTGCAGAGCCCTCCTGCTGCCCTGCCCTTTCACACGGGGCTCTGAACCTGCAGAATCATGAAGGTTGGAAGGACCACTCAGTCCAACCACTGACCCACATCCCTCAGTGCACATCCACCCTTTCCTTGAACCCATCCAGGAATGGTGGCTGCCCCGCTCCTAGGGCAGCTGTGCAGGTGCCTCACTGCTCTTTCGGAGAGGAAATTTGTCTTAATACCCAACCTGACCTTGCCCTGGCACAGCTGAATGCCATCCTCCTCTCATCCTACCACTGTTACCCACGAGCAGAGGCCAACCCCCACCCCATCCTTCAGGCAGTTGTAAAGAAATCAGCTTTAGTAAGAGCAGACAGTCTCTCTTTGCAGTCTCGCCTTGCTGTAGCATTAAGTGCCACCTATGTTTGAAGGAAGAGGAACTGGAAAGCATTTGGAGGTGCAGAAGTCCCCCCGTTTGATCTCTTCCAGTTGCAGTAGATGATGCATGCTGCGGGGCTCTGCTGCTTTCCCACATTGCACAGATGCAGCCCTGGGAAGAGCTCAGCAGCTCAGAGGCATGCCAACTTTCTGGAGTTGCAGAGCCCCGATGGCAGCGTTCAGGGAAGCACACAGCCCAGCAGCGCCCGCACAAAGCTCTGCTGCCCAGATATGGAAACCGCGTCCATGAGGACAGGAAGGCCGTGCTGAGCAGGGCTGTGCCGACACGGAGGGCAGGGGCTGGCCGGCCCCAGGTAGCCGCAGCAGGCATGGAGCCAGAGCAGGGCTGAAAGGAGGCCTTGATGGAGCACAAAGGGCAGCCTGTGGTGTGCAGCACTGCAAGTGCGAGCTGCGGTTCTGATGAATGTGAAAGGAACTTGTTTACAGAAAGGCTGGGCTGCGTGTGTGTGTGTGTGTGTGTGTGTGTGTGTGTGTGCACCCAGAGCGCTGCCTGCATGCTCTTCCCTTCTTGGTCAGCACAAGGCAGGAAATTTCCTTTTCTAACACGGTGAGATGCAGAAAAATTCCACTGTGCCTAAAAGCCCTGAGCACAGGACAGGGATGGGTAACTGTTTGTACACAGCAGAGAACTGTTCTGCTCTGGGGTAGCTCACAGCCTCTGCTTATTCCCCAGGGCCCAGCTCAGAGGTAGCACAGAACAAACGTAAGGAGGCCTCACACATTTGAAAGGAAAGAGTTAGCACTGAGCCTCTGCTGTGCTCCAGCATCCCAGCACACATCCACCAGTGCAAAGCTCCCAGCCCCACAGGGAGAGCCAACGGGGGGAAGTTAAGGTAGAGGTGAAGAATTTCCAGCTCACAGTTGCACTGAAAAGCAGCTGATGTCTGCAGAGCAAAAGCAAGCAGTTAAGACAAAGACCTCACCTGGTCTGTGGGAGGAGCACTGCCACTGCTCCTGGGAGCACAAGCACAGAACAAACTGAAACTTGGTGCTTAAATGATCAATGCTGCAGTAAAGGAAAACCAGAGCCCGGTGTTTGAGAAGGAACGTATCCAGTTTTTAAGGCTTACTTAGTAGCTACTTTCAAAGGTTTCCCAGAAAAAAGTCATCTCAAAGCAGTGGGATGCAGGGAACACCAGCGGCAGTGCTGCTGCTCCGTCCCTGCAGACAGGGCCAGGTGCAGTGCTCAGCTCCTCTCCCTGTAGAACAGCCCCTCCAAACACAGACATGCACGGCTGCCAGCCAGGCCCTCCTGCTGGGCACAACGTAAGAACAGGCTGCGAGGGAGCTGCAGCCTTCCTCCAGCTCTTGGAAGTCCGAACAATTCAGGAAAGTGAGCGCTGTGCTCTGCTGTCACACCGGCCTGAGCCACTCATTAGGTCCCGTCTGCATTTCAGAGGCTCTAAGGGGAGCAGATGGGGCCAAGGTTGACAACCTCCTCAACAAAGAGTGCCCAACGCAGCAGGGCTCACACCAACCCTGCTCCCCTCACAGCCTGTTTGCTGTTTCAGGCCGTTCATTATAGCCACCTCTGGGTGGAAACCCAAACCATGCACACCGCTCAGCTTTAGACTGAGCTCAGTGTTGTCACAGATGCTTTCATTGCTGTACTTGCAGCACTGGTGAAGTGCTGTGCTGCAGGGAGAGCACAGAAGGCACCAGAGATCGGCACAGTCTTGAGCTGGAGGAGAACGTGTCTCTCCATGATTCAGAATGCTTTCCCACCACGATCAGCAAACAAACAAGCAGCCCCACCAGCTGCAGAGCACAGCCATGTCCTGCAGCACACCCGGCTCCTGGGCTGCAGCCACCAGCACTCACACAAGCACTGCTGCTACTCAGCCTAACAGAAGTGACAGATTTATTCAGGTTTCCCCAACAGAAACCTGGACTCAGGATGGAGAGGACGTTCTTACTCAGCACTACCCACCGACTCCAAAATCAACTTCCACCACTCAACCATATTTCAATAAATACGTACAGCAGTTTTTAAGGAGGAAAAGAAGGACGAAGCGACAGGAGGAGAGCAGAGCTGAGTGAGCATCTCCTCTTCTTTTGGAGTTCAAATGCAGACGCAGATCCTTACCTGCCAGCGCAGCGGGCAGCAGGAGGCACAGTGTCAGCAGGAGCGGGCGCAGGGCTCTGTGGCAGGGCATGGCTTCCCTCTGGAAAAGTGCTGGCAGAAATTCTTGAACTCCTCCAAGTAGGAAACAAGTCGGAAATGTCGCCGGTATAATAAAAAGCTGGGTCTGGTCAGGTCAAAAATTCCTTCACAACAGCAAGTGGACAGAGAGCGCGCAGCCCAGCAGACTCCCTCTCTCCCTGCCTCCCCAGCACACCTCCTCCCAAGGCAGCTCCACCCTCCAGGACCTGTGCCTCCAAGCCATAAGGCAGCGAGGCCATTTGCAGGGTCCCTGCCACCAGCACACGGGGCAGCTGTTGGCAAAGCCATCCCTGAGCCGTGGGATGCGCTCAGGATGCCCACCCACAGGCAGCGTGGGACAACACGAGCTGCATTGGGGCAGACACCCAAAACTGAGCCACCACGAGGGATGGGGTCTCCTGTGTGCAGGGCAGGGGTGGTCTGGCCCAGATGGGCACAGCAAAAGAACAAAGGCCTCCATCTTTTTAACTTAATACTTTAAGACAGAGGCAGAGCAGCTCCACGGCATCCTTTTTTTTTGGGTAGACCAGAGGTGGACTAGCAGCCACAACTGCCCCTTCGTGGTGTCCTCCAGTGGACGTGCTGTGCCATACCACAGCAGCATCCTCCTCCGAGCTGCTCTGAACAGGCACTGCCTCCTCCCACAGCACTCAGCCCTTGCTCCCTCGGTTCTGCCTCCAGATGGGTTCACAAGAGCTCCCCAGCAGAGGAAACAGGTTGGTTTTCAGTCACACGTGCACTGATAGAGACTTGGGAAAGAGCAAAGTGAACCAAGGGAGGGCACTTCGGTTTGCCAGCAGGGGAATTCTGAGTATTTTAAAAAATTATTGCAACAAGATGGTATGAGGATGAAATATTTCACTTCTGTTCATCCCCAACATCAGTCCTTTCTGACCTGAAAACATAATGGTTTTATCATGTTACAGATGCAGAGTTTTCTGGGAAGGGCTCCCTCTGCATTTTGGCTGACAAGAAGCCAGACCCAGCTCTGCTGCCCTTTAACAGCACTGCCTGGTGCCATTCTTGGTGACGGTGCTTTGCTGCGAGGGGACACAGGAAAACAAAGGACTGCACACTGCCCCTGCAGCAAAGCGAGAAGTTTGGGATTATAACACCGGTGACACATGCTCAAAAGAAACCTCAGATCTGTGGCATCAAACTCCACATCATCTTTCAGAGCCCAGCACAGCCCCGTTAGCCATCCAGGTTCACGTCCTGTCTGAAAAGGAGACTGAGGTGCATAAATGCACGGCCTACAGACGCAGTGCTGTAGCTCATCTTCCCAACTCTACCGAAACAATGAGCTCTGTTCCCAAACAGGCCCTTTTTGACCCAGAGGGGGACAAGGAGGGCAAGGCGACCTGAGCACGACTGAACACATCATCTTACCTTCATGCAGCAATACAAGTCAGCATATTAAATACTTGAGAACAAGATCTCTTCCCTCCTGGTCCATTACCTGCAGGCTCTCTGAAGCCCCACAAGGTCCTCGGGGCATGACAAGTCAGCACACCTTTTCCCTGCGTGCACTGCTGCGTTCAGCCATTGCCGAATTGGCCGTGTTCTCCGACTGAGCTGGAAATTATCAGGCTTTTGCTTATTGTAGTATTCCAAAATTAGCTTGCAGAAATGAGATCGTACCGTTAAAAACCAAGCACTTCAGAAGCAGACAGCTTGTACACTAAGGTGAATTAGAACTTCAAAACAAGTTACCAGCCTGGACACAAACGGTTCTAAGACCACAGCTACACATAACTCAGGACCATGCAAGTTAGTTCTTTACCAACTCGGTATTTCTTGTCACGTGGATGGCTGAAGAACATTCCTCATTAGTCTTTACTGGCACTTTCCACTCAAAATCAAGCAGCAGAAAAAAAAGAAAATAAGCTTTAGTCTAGGAAGGGAAGCCTGCAAGATGCCTGTGTGGCCATTACATCAGGAGGGGAATAAAAGCTCTCCTTTAGAGAAGGGAATTGGAGTGAGGGTGGTTACCAACTGGCAGAAAGAAGGCTCCACGAGCACAGGTTTGCACTAACAGAAAGCCAGCCATGGCTTCACCTCTCCTGCATTAATAAGTGGGCATGCACACGTTCTTGTAAGCAGAGAGAGGGACAAAAACTAAAGCTTTCTTGTCAGTGCTGTCCAATCTCAACTGACTGCTGTTTATTTGAACTCTAAAATTATCAAGTAGGAAAAAACCCACCAGTGTTCCTCACTGGGGAACAAATAAGGCAGCAGTTGTTCCAGATGCTGTGCATTTCATGATGAAAGCTGATGAGAGTTGAGTTTGGGGTCAGTTTTAGCACCAGGAATTATCTCAAAACTCAGCTTCGACAAAAGCAAGCAGAAAATTTGCTCTCAGATATAATACAACCAGGTTTTATTTAAGTTCTCTCTTTCCCTCCCCTCCCACACTGGCAAAAGTTCAGAGGGAGTTTAAAGTTTTGTAAACATTTTAACTACCCCTCTTCCCCCTTTTATGAATTTACAAAGCAAAGGAGACAGGGAGACCAGATTTGCGACAGTTCCAAGTCTCTCCATGCTATTGGATCCAAAAACTATATACAAGTCTGCAGCAGTCTCTGTATAGTTACTGTACACGTTTGGGGGCTGGGGGAAGAGAGAGGAGGAGGAGAAGGTGACCCCAAAAAATGAATAAATCAAACAAAATAAAATTCAAAGCCAAACTGCTCTTGAGCAACTCAAACTGTTTTCTTTAGGCAGTGATGACAGAGACCTTCATACACCTCCACCGAACCTGCAGCGTAGCTCCCTTTGCAGGTTGTACCCCTCTGGGAATGGGAGACGGGACCAGGGGGCTGAAACTAAGTGCATTTGGCAGTTTTAGGTTTGTTGTGTGGTGTGTGCACGTGGGTGGGTGGAGAAAGGAAGGCGGTGGCAATCTTCTGGTGAGAGAGAAGGTTGCGATTCCATACTTAAACATTATGGATCCGAGTGAAGGCGCGTGATGCAGTTTTACATGTAGAAGGTGAGCAGGGCTGTCACTGCACTTAGCTTCGCCCTCCACAGTCTCTTTCCATTACAAAAGGCATCTCCGCTTGTTAACCAAAGCGCTGTTGGAAATGACAACTAGCTAAGACTGTGGGAGTACAGATGTGAAAGCCAGTGTTCACTCACACCAAAGACTAGAGATCCACATGGTAAAGATCCTACCGTCTCTTAAACGAGACAAATTTGCAGGAGAAGAGCTCAAAATAGACTGGTCCTAACCCTCAGAAGGTACCATTTAAGGGATAGATTCAACCCGAAAGAAGAGATATCACCCCTCTTCCTCCCCACGAGAGCACAAGTCCCCACTTGTCCAAAGAAGGCTGGATATGCTGACAGGAAACTCCACCAGCTTCAACATCACCACCTAACGAAGACACTCGAGCGTTCCCTCCAAAAATAATGTGCTGAGAAGGGCTGGCAGGGGGGTGTGCAACTTCAAACCAACCCAAGCTAAACTGTGCCCGCCACCGCCCTTCTCCTGCTGTTGCCAGTTCTAAGGTTAGCTTATGAATGCAACTCCTGGCTGGGAGAGCACCTCTTGCCCTGAAGGAGCGCAGAAGTCAGTATCTGTGTGGCATTTTGTTTTTGACCAACATCTGTTAACCACAAACTCTCTCTTCACGACTGCAAGTGTTGGATGTGGTAAGAGGAACCAGGAGAGAGAAGCAACGGTTTTTGCAGAATCCCGATTGATTTTTTTTCCAGGTATGTCAGTAGAAGAAATCACAGCACAGTGAAAGCTTGCTGCCCAAATGAGCTTTGTTGTGAACAAATCCAATCTCCCACCCTCCCAGGACTCTGAACAAAGTTCACTTGACTCCCAAGCAGATTCTCAAGACAGCAGGAACAACGCCTGTGCAGTCCTGGGCAGAAAGGGTTTGTTGGAGCCAGAAGCAGCAGCCTGAGATGACCGATTCTGTGATTCACTGCGAGGCGAAGAAGAACGCATGGTGGAGAATACTGTGTCCAAAATGGAGAATCCAGGGTTAACAGATGCAGCAAAAGCCAGTTGATTTGCACATGCTCAGTAGTCTTCCAAAGTCTCTATTTCTCCCATGTTGAGCCGCTCTGATGAGGCATTCACTGAAAACCCTGTAAGCCAAAATGAAGTCGTGTTAAATCTGGCTGCGGTATGCTTTACATGATGCAATGCAGCTGTTGCATGCAGCAGCTGTTAAAGTGAATAGTAAAAACCAAGTAAAAACCCAAAGGAAAACTGCATATGGACAGATGTAGTTACCCAGATTGCTGTTTTTTTTTTTCTCTTTAGTAAGTCAAAGATAAAGTGTATACTTAGCCAAGTATCACAACCAGCAGAATCACAGCCCCAACTTCCATTGAGGAGGTACCTGAAGAGCTAGTGCCAGACCTAGGCACTGTGCAGATGTGGCTTGGCAGCCCCTCAGAAGGCAGCGTGTTTGGGTCAAGTGTACTTGAAAGTGCCCATCACAGCACTTACACAGTCAAGAGGTAGAAACGTGCTCCGTGAACTCAGAATGGCAGTGCTGTTCATGCTCAGCACTTCAGGAGCAGTGAGCAATTCCACTCCTTCCTTTTGAAGCACAGGTGCATGCAGAAATTCCATGCATTTCCATGGCTGTGTTGATTTAATAGAGTCCCCTAGCTCAGACAGATGACATGAATGTGCACAGAAGTACACAGGGCCACAGAGAGGGCTCAAAATACATCTGAACTTCTACCCAAACTCTTAACAGCACTGAGGACGTTTTGATTTATTTCTCATTCTTGTCATCATTTTCTAAAGGAAGAATTCTAATGTTTCACATGATGCAACTTTGCCACTGAAATCCCATTGTTATTTTTGCACCAATCTCATACGAAGTGTAAGAAAGAAGACTAATCTATTTTGTGTAAAGGTTGCTTAACACAAACCTAGCAATTTCATTGCCTTGAGTCTGCTACGTAACTTCCCCCATGCTACAAAACAAACAGCTTTTCACAGCCATCACCTTCACCTGCTCAGTATGTCTGAGTGAATTGTTCGGGCTCCCTCTCGTGGCAGTATGTCACCTACAAACTTTTGGAATCATTTTTATCCTATTTAAGAAGCTGCACATATTTAAGAAGCTGAACACTGTAGTTCTCTCAGCCATAATGCCATAATTGCACTTGGTGATTTCTTCCCAACATCACAAGAGCAGATGTTTTGCTTGTTGCTGTGTTTTTTGTTTTGTTTTTTTTTTTAATTGAACTGGTGACCCACTCTGAACTCACTGGATTAGCATCTGCTAGAGGCTTAAGCGAGGACTCCAAGGAGATCAATGTGCTTCAAAGTAGGAATTACCAATTAATAATTGAAAAGCATTGATTTAGTTGAGGACAAAGAAGAAAGAAAAAACAAAATGGTTCTGTCTGCTTTAGAAGTGTCTCTTGCGTGTGGCAATTACTAAGCTGCTTTAGACAAGTATGAGCTGTGCAGCACCAGTTACATGCCCAGTGCAGTGCCCTAGTCTCCATTTATCACATGCAGCACAGATGTGGGCACAATATATCCCACAGCACAGCTCAGCTCTGCATGCCACACGACTCATTATACCTTTCTTTCTTAAGGACACTTAACCTTTCCATCAGTGGGGGCTGGATTTGATCATTTCTAGAGGTCGCCTTCCAAGCCCTACATTTCTGTGACTGTGTGAACAGTGCAGTGGAACGTGACAAGTGTCCTCACATAAAAAGATGGACAATAAAGAAATAAGGCCACTAATTGATGCCAGCAACTTCACTGCCTTAAATTCAGAACCTGTGATCACATTCTATCTTTCTTTCCCCCCCCTTCATACCCTGACCACCTTTTCTGACTAAGATGGTTAGCTTGTGTAGAAAGGTAGGAAAGAAAAAAGGCAACCAAGCCTCAAGAAGCCAACTGATCATCACCAAGAAACAAGACATGCTCTTCTTTTAAAAGAATCTTTTGTGTAAGTGTGAAAAATACTTAGCATGAATTGAATAGTACAGGCATAGGTCAGCTCCAAAGAGGAAAGGGAGCTTAGCTGACATGTCTAAACTGTTCAGATCTATCTGGAATATATTTGTTCCACTGCACCCTTAGAAATCCAGGGTATCTGAAGGAACAGCCACACGTCCACAACACGCAGCTTCTTCTCTAAGAAAACAACCACTTGCAGTACATGAAGACCTGGTCTTTAGAGTCTCCAAAGTTATTTTTCATCTCTCATAAATCAAGTGCTAATGACTATACTAATGTTTAAAACAACACAGAAATACAATTTGATCAAATCTATCCCCCCTCCCCTTTTTTTAAAGGCAACTTTTAAGTTCATGCTGAATTTATTCCCAGTACATACCACGTTGCTGACAGAGGAAGTCTGTCTTGATCCTTACATCAAGGACTACAAACAAGTCCTTTACAAGATTCCTGTTCCTAATCTGCTGGCTGTATTTGGGCAAAGAAAGAATGCACAAGAGACTCCTCTGATCAAGCGGTGCAATCACTGATTTACATCACTATCTTGTGCTCTGTGTATCATACTCCTTTGAGGCTACTCTGCCCCAGCAGCAGAGATATTCAGTCAGTTTCCCATGAAACTAAAGCATTATTTAAAGAACTCCAATACTGAAACAAATCCTAAGGACTTCAATAGCTACTGTGCCTGTTAGAATTCAGTATTTCCATTTAGGTTAACGAGACTTCTACACTACTTAAGGCTTTTCCCAGAAAAAAAAAGATTAGTTTTAAAGACAGACCTAACAAGCTGGGATCTGCTCGAACCATTTTCTGTTTCTTCTTTTTCTTCCCACTCTGTACAGCTTCAAAATTCGATTGCTGGCTGTTACTCTGGTTGGTCTGAAAGACTGAATGTAGTGAGCTGTGGTTCATCCCCCACACCGAATCCTACGAAACAAAGACAGCATTATAAAACGAAATGAAGTTTTCTTTACCTATACTTAAACCAAACTGCCTTCTACATCATGTGGGGTGGCTGAAGTCACCAATACATCCATCCAATACACCCATCCCATCTTCTCAAAGTGTATCAGCATGCTAAGGGACTATCTGCACAACAGCTGACCTCAGCTGTTAATCATAAAGGATATTTGATTCTGCAGTACACACGTGAAATCTGCTTTATCCTCTGTCATTCACGTGACCTGTAAAGTCCTGCTCACACTCATCGATCAGAAAAGTTTTACTCCTCAGACTGAAACTTAATATATATACATAATACAGAAATTATGTACTCCTGAAGATGATAGCAAGC